ATTTGAACGCAACATCCCTTAGCACAAGACCTTCATACGGACCTGTATTTGTTACCTTGACCCCTGAATGGCCTTTACCTTGAAGGTCAAATTGTCCAAAACATTTAAGATTGTCCATAATGTCCTTATTAGTAAATCAATTTAATTCATATTTAGGCACAACACCTCTTTGGACAAGGCCTTCCAACTGACCTATATTCTTTTGACCTTGACCCCTGAATGACCTTCACCTTGAAGGTTAAATTGTCCAAAAACTTAAAAATTGGTCATAATTTCCTTATTAGTATACGAATTCTACTCATATTTGGACACAACACCCCTTCAGACAAGACCTTCAAACTGATCTGTATTTTTTTTACCTTGACCCCTGAATGACCTTCTAGAACATCCAAAAGCTTTAACATTGGTCATAACTTCTTTATTAGTAAGTGGAATTAATTCATATTTGGACACAATGCCCCTTTGGACAAGACCTTCCAACTGACCTATATTTATTTCACCTTGACCTTGAATGACCTTCACATTGAAGATCTAATTGTCAAAAAACAAATAATCTATCTGGTCTATAAATCAAAGGACATATATAGCACCACTTCGGGGGCATTGTCAACTTACCGTGACAGTTCTTGTTCTACACACTTTTGTCAGTCTTCAGCTCAGGATAAACACATGTATGTGTGTATCACACAGATTGTGAAATTGTTGAAATATTCATAAACTCCCCGTGATGTTCACTCGTGCCACACTATAGTATCCGAAATAAAATACCTGATTTATCTCCCCTGATTACTTATTCTGTTAATCTGATGACATGTGAATATGAAGAATAATTTTCAACATTTTAGTGATTGGACATGGGGTCGTTGCCCTGGCCTTAAAAAGATTAGAACTACTAGAAAAACTGTCAGTGATGCATAAAAATCAAAAGAAAAGTTTGGGTCATGGCTCTTGCAAAACATTCTTTTCAGTCAAACACACTGTAAAATCAGCTAACCCAAAATTGTACTAGTGGTGTAACACCTAAGAAGTCAAGAAGTTTTCTAGAAATGCCACAATTCCATGATGAAAATGCTATTTAAATGTCAAACACAGACTGTCATGAGCTTTCTAAAAAAGACAGTGCAACTAAAATCATGAAAAATGCTCTACAGAGCAAACAAACGCTGAGAACTATTTGAATCTGTTATTATTCGACTATCGTTTTTCGCGGAGGATTACTTATTTAGTGTGTTGTAACTTTTAAACACTACACAAGTATATTCTTAGCTTAATAGATAAATTAATGGTAAATATACCTACGATTTTGCAAATGTTTTGCTGTTTGTGCAAATGCTGGTGAACTAATAAGGGGAGGGAAATTATGTATTTAACTGCATCCAGTATACTTCGTGTTGCGAGTTATAAACATGCATGTATTTATCCTGAGCTTCATTCATGTTAGACTGGCCAAGTTATGTAGAAAAAGAAGAACTATTGCAAAAAAAAATATTGTGCAAAAAACGTTTTGATTGCTTTTGGTAGATTGAAAATTGTATTCTCACCATTTGAATTACATATTAAAATCAGACAAGCACTGCGCTTGTCTTGCTCACAACGAGGTTATGGTGCTCACAACGAGGATTAAAGCAAAAAAGGGTTTATCTTCGTTTCTATGAAGACTTTCAGATAATAATTTACGCTGAAGACTTGTTGGCATCTGTTTTAGGTTAAAATGCACAAAACTTCACAAGAATCGACGTTTTCAATGTTAAATTTGGTCCGGAGAGAAGTTCTCTCCAGTTTTCCAGCTACCCCGAGTGACTGCGTCGCACGGTATTTCCATCAAATTGTCCACCAACAGGCAATATCTTTACATGTGCATACTCGGAAAACACATCGCTAGCTAACTGCATTCCGATATTTTTACATAAATGTCTGTAATCTTCAAAAATTATGAAAAACACACCTTGTTTATCGTGTCACACGTCCTAGATGGGTGCTCACAACGAGGAACGGAAGTTGCTCACAACATTTTTACCGATGGACATTTTTCACTCGTTGTGAGTTAAACGGGCGTGATTTTTAATTTATACAAAATGTATCACTCTGTACAGCTTATAACTCACTTCCAAAAGTTAAACTGAATACTTATGTCTTCGCTGAAAGATGTAAAGTTCTCTAAGAAATTTACTCGTTCTGGGACCTGAGTAACAGCTATAAATTGTTTGGAAAAGTAAGAATGGATAAAAAGAATGTTAAAACTTTGGAAACAAGAAATGTTCATTTACTTTTGTCATTTCAGCTATGCGGAGGTACATTATGATATACAAAATATTATCCATAAATTATGTTGATTATGGAACACAGACCACATATGGATCACTAAATGAATTTTGACCGCGGTTCCATATAGTTATTTTGTATACAATCTGATATTATTTCGTTTACAACTTAATGTAATTTTAACATTTAACTTTGTGTACAATCTGGTGTTATTTTGTGTACAATCTGGTTTTTTTTATGTACAATATCTGGTGTTATTTTGTGTACAATCTGATGTTATTTTGTGTACAATCTGGTGTTATTTTGTGTACAATCTGGTGTTATTTTGTGTACAATCTGATGTTAGTTCCTCTGCAATCTAGTGTTGTTTTCTTTTCTTATACAATCTGACGTTATTTTGGAATCAAAGTAATGTTATTTTATATTTCAATCTGATGTTATTTTGTGTACAATCTGATGTTATTTTGTGTACAATCTGATGTTATTTTGTGTACAATCTGATGTTATTTGGTGTACAATCTGATGTTATTTGGTGTACAATCTGATGTAATTTGTGTACAATCTGATGTTATTTCATCTACCATCTGATATCAATTTCAATAGAATCTGATGTCATTTCGTGTACAATTTGGTGGTTTATAAAAGCTGCCGAATCGAAAATGTCCACAAGAATAAAGCATTTCAAAATGTCACATGAATTTTTAAGTTTATGCTTGACATCTTTCTTAATAGAAGAAAAAACAACGTCGGCATCGTAATATAATTACACACATTTTGATTTTCGTTATGAAATATATGTAATAAAAAAATAATATAATGGGTACTTTTTTCTTTTAAAGATTTGAATGAAAGAAGAATACAAATATGACCTGAGTTTAGAATAAAAGAATTGACAAAAAAATACAAACTTTGTTAAGAAAAGAAGATTGTTTATTTAATTTTGTCGTTTGAGTTATGTTAAGGTGTATTATGATATACAAACAAGTGTCCATATGTTGAATATAGTGCACAAATGATACAATATGAAGTGTTTCGTAAACTATTTCATTAAATAAACAATCTAATCTTATTTCGTATAAAATAGCGATATATCTTATACAGTAAACTTCTCCTACAGCAAAAACTGGTATACCGAATTTTTGGTTAGAAGGAACAATTAGTTTTAGCCCAAATCTTGCCCTTCCCTTTATGATATAAGAAAATGTTGTTATAGCGAACACTTTTTTACGGAATTATTGCTTATATGGAACTCATATTTTAGTCCCAGTTGACGAAAATGCACTAAAATAATAACATGTTTGCAACGGACTCCAAAAAAGGCCAACCTATTCATTGATTCAGTATTTCCCACGTTTGTTTTCATTGGCATGAATTAAGAGTTGAATAAATTTGCATCTTTTTCAGTAACAACTAATATACACGTATTTTTCTTTTACTAATTAAATTGCCTTTTTGCAATATGTCATTTATATTTGAAATTATAATCGCCCTATTAACAATGACATCAATCTGTACATGATAAAACTTATTTAAAAATTAATGCAAATAAACTTGTCATTATTAATGACTTAATGCCAGTTCAACATGTACGCAATCGAGGACTGATATTTATCTATGCAAATCATGTTCAAACTTATACATACATTAGTACTCTTCATTTTGATTTTTGGCGCCTTTGTTTTATTATGAATACATTTTGTACAACATGTTAGTATCCTATATCAATAAACATGAATAATTTCAGGGTTTTTTTCTATATTACAATAGAAATGAGATGATAATCATAATCTTAGAGGAGTTTTAAAAAACAATTTCTTTTGTACATCTTAATTAGAATGGAAGATTATGTAAACGTTCGGTTCGTTATAAATGAGTTAAAAGCCTCTGATATAAGGAACTAATTTACATGTTTTTACAAGGAACTCCTGATATAAAGTACAAATTGCTTGTCCCTGCAATGAGTTCGTTATAAGCAGATTTTTTTTCTTTATTGTAGGTCTAATATTATCTCTTATACAGTCAGATGACATTTCGTTAACAATCTGGGGTTATTTTTAAAAATCTCATGCTATCTCGTAATTAATTTGATGTAATTTCGCATATCGCATATAATCTGTCTTAGAGAAACAATTAAATAGAAATCGTCGTCAACGTAACATCACACACATTTTGATTTTCATTAATATATGTTTCTATACCATTTTTTCTTGAGTAAAAAGATATACTGTTTTCTTTATACAAAACATTTGAATAAAAAAACTTAAATTGCGAAAATGTAAACAAAAGAATTGACGTCCCTGGGTGGGCTTGAACCACCAACCTTTCGGTTAACAGCCGAACGCGCTAACCGATTGCGCCACAGAGACGGTTGTGTCTATGCAAAATTGCTTTCTTAGTTATATAAAATAAATAATTAGGAAGATGTGTTTTAGACTGATGTATATATTAGTAACAATGTTTATGCTTATATATGTTTACAACAGTATTCATTTACCGTACATGCATTTCTGTACATGCAAGTTTTACAAGACCGACGTATTTCCGTCTTATAAAAATATAATCGTGTAAAGTCATCTTACATTTAAAAAAGTTGCGACGATGATTGACTTTTTATATAACTAAGCCTTATTATACACAGGTCCCTATTTAAAGTGTTATATAGGGTTTATATCGATCTCCGATATACGCCTTTCAGGGTTGCCTATTGGTTTGGGTTAAATCTTTAATCTTAAACAGTTTATACTTACATACGGTAGTCATATCTAAGATTTAATACCGTCATTGTGACTCGTATATATAAAGCTTGTTAATGTAATTCAAGTGTATAATTTGTACTGCCGTATATAACGAAAAGAGAAGGTTCGTTTGACAGACAGAAACTTAATGAAGGAACGTTGCTGATAAGTTTCTAATCTAATATAATCTAACATGATATAAATTGGTTGACAATATGATATTCAATGATGAAAATTTTGATTTGTGGTTATTTACCGGTGCGAATGTCATGTAAACTATAACGAATCTGGGATATAAGGAACATTTTAGTGGACTTAAGCAAAATGAGTGGACAAAATGGCCCGACCCTGGAGTTCCGGGAGGACTCTTCTACAGGAACGGCCACGCCTAAGGTATTCATCTTTTTTATGATCAGCTAGATTTTGATGTATTCAATTAAGACTCGTTGCTATTTATATACAACCGCGTGGTTACATGCACGTGCTAGCTATGTATACAGTATTCTAATGTAGTTCAATGTTTTACAGAAGAAGGATTCATGATATCGATATAAACACAAAATCACTTTTATTAAAGCACGTCTTATTTAAGTAATTTCACAGCTTTACAATCCTTTTGCTTCATGTATTTTCTTGTTTTAACACATGTGTCGTCTGCATTATCGTAGTAACATGTTGAACACGCTTGGTCTCGTTAATGCTGGGAAAATAAGACATTTAATACCATTTTTGTCGTAATATCAAAATATGTGTACTTTAATATTTCAAGTTTGTAATATCTTAAAGTGTATTGCCCATTACAGGGTCTTCTGCAAATATTATTTCACACTTTGTTTGAACTGGGAATATTTTCAAAATGTACATGTCTGATAAAAAATATTGCTTGACTTGTAGATCGGAAAATGATATTAGAATTAGAATTGAGGTAATTCATATTTAACAAACTTATCTTTCTGATGATTATAACAAAACATAAAATCAATTAGCAGCTTTGTGTAGATATGCCAGGACTTGGATAAGATATGTAAATATTTAAACAAGTGTAAATGTTTCTATTATAAGGTCGTCACCCAGTAAAGATCGACATTTGATAAGCCTATTTTAACGGTGAATTGTTGATTTTTGGTCACAATGTAAGCTAATAGATAAGAACGATCACACGTATCATGTTCAATGTAACATTACACTGTTTTGACAAGCATTTTTGGGCTTGTTTGTTTTTAACAAATACAAAAATCAACAACCGACTATACAATTGAATTTGCAACCACTGAAATCATTAGAGTCAAAATTTACAGTAAGATATACGTCCGTTATATAGTAAATCCGGTGTATGTTGTGCATATTACCAGTTACAGGAAAACCGGTGTTCAAAGACCATCTCCAAATAAAGATCATGATATAGAAAACCTGTCGCCGTTCATAGATAAGATTTTTTTTCCAGAAAACATCTGTCATGAAAGCCGTTTTTATCTATTTTATACACTGACTTTTATGTAGTGCTTTACTGTTTACTGATAATTAGACACACCTCCTTATATTTTTCTAAAAACGGCAGACTGTGAAGTGTAAATCTTTTCTACAAGATTTTAAAGTGATTTTTTTCAAATAAACAAGTCATACCCTTAAAATAATTCATCTTGCAATTGAACTCTGTTTAAAAACATTTACGATATAAATCGATCATACTAAATGGTTAAGTGGAATTCTTGATTGAAAATCTAAACATGTTACATAATGGAATGGTTCTTTTAATCGTCCAAAGTGAAAGGAATGGATCTATGGTATTTAGAATCGTTTAATGGTAATCGATTACGTAAGACGATTTGCCTTTTTAAGCTGCTTACTTTATTTCTATCAATATTTAAAGGTTTGTATTGACCTATATAGTGATCTTCTAAGATCAAAGACAATTTATGTCTCTTTTTTTCTTTTGGTAGTTTATTTGAATTTCATTGAACATCTGTGTCATAAAGTTAACACATTTTTAAGTTAAGTTTTGAGATTCTACGCTCATTTAAAGTCTAAGTCTACGTAAATGAAATATTCCACTTTTAAATGTTTATAGTACACAAACCTAGAATTTACTTTCAAAGTTATTGCTAAATCCATGAACAATCTTAATTGTACCATTATGCAGTTTGCAGTTTATTTTATTAGACCCAGAAAATTTGAAATCCGAGTATTTTTTCTATTATATAACATAATTATATTACATGGTCAGAAAGGAAATTAATATTAATTCACGTTTACAATTCAACATGTTTATGATCGAAATATACTTAAATACAGATAATAATAATTGTAAATAGTTATCATACAGTTAACAGTAAACACTTTGTAATCTTACTTCGAAACATGCTCCTTCGTTTAACAATATATTTAAAAAGTGGGAAAAATCATCAACTTTACACATGAAATTATACATACATGTATATATTTATACCAACGCCTAAATAAAGACAAAGATCATTTTGTTAACTTAAACCTCATTTGAGCCGCGTCACGACAAAACCAACATAGTGGGTTTGCGACCAGCATGGATCCAGACCAGCCTGCGCATCCGCGCAGTCTGATCAGGATCCACGCTGTTCGCTTACCAACCCTATAACAAATAGAGAAACTGATAGCGAACAACATGGATCCTGATCAGACTGCGCGGATGCGCAGACTGGTCTGGATCCATGCTGGTCGCAAACCCACTATGTTGGTTTTGTCGTGACGCGGCTCATTTCTTTTCTTTTCAAATTGTTGTTTAACATGCAGAGAAGAAAAGAGCAATTCTGTCTCGTTCTGTTTTTATTATATTTGGATGATCGAAATTTAAAGGACGATTAATCTGTTTGAAACACGCACATAATATTGACTTTTTCCTTACGACTTTCTTTCACATTGAAATAAAACTAAAAAAACATTAGTTTTATTTTGATCTTGCAAGTATGTCTTTTAGCAGATCTGAAAAGAAAGTTCGCCTATATATACGGTTGTAGACGCTGTAAAATTACAGAACTTTGGTTTAACTTTTCTAAGACATAGTGTGTTGTTTTGTTCTGAAATATGAGACAATGCCCTTTCATGTCTGCACAAATCTTAAGAAATCATCTAATATAGTATCTGCTTTCATATAGGAAGCAATGCACAAAACAAAATACATGTATCTTCTCGATCTGTGTAGAAACTATAGTGAACGAGGTAAGTTTGTAAAATATTATAATGAATTTTAATGAATTATTAACAGAAGCACGCATGTTAAGATTTGTTTTTCTGCTTGATTTGTTAAAGGATTTTCGATATTTCAATATGGATAGAGGAGATACCGAACTTTCTCTTGTAAGTATTGTACTTATACACGTGATTTACGTGCTTTATGTATGCTTATAACCTACACGTGTATGGGATGAACAAATATTTGGTGACGGGTAATAACTTATTTATTGCATAATGCTAGATAAACGCCTAATACTGGCCTTATGTTCTAACAAAGTTGGTGTTGGGTAATGAAAGCTAGAATGCGTAAAATGTGCCATGTTGCTTGAATCGCCACATCCCTCAACCTCCATTCATGATAATTAGTTCCCGACCTTAAATGCCTTTTTGCTTTATATGGTTGGTTGATTTATTTCTTATTTCCTTTTATGACGCCCCCCTTCTCCCACTTCCATAACTGATAATAAGATCCCGACCTGATATGCCGTTCTGCTTTAATGCTTTAAATGGTTGGTAATTAACTTTTATAATCATATATTAACTATATTTCAAAAAGTCCGGCAAGATGGAATGTTGTTTTTAAAACTTAACAAATTAACAATGATTTATCATTGACCTAACACTAGTATTCTAATGTCAATATGAGACCCTCACCCACCTCATCACTCGGTACCATAATAAGAAAAGTGGTACGGGCATTGCCAGGAAACAAGCAAATGTTCAGTAATCATTGACAACTATACTTAAACATTTAATGTCGTTACTAACATCATATTTTTATTTAATATCAATAATAAAAGACAGAAAATGAAACATGTATTATCAATGTTTGATTTTTCATTCTTAGTTATAATGTTATGGTCTGTCTTTAAAAACAAGTTTGTTTTGGCATTATTGCAAATGTTCTTTGCAAGGGAAGTTCATTTATTACCAACATTCATTTCACTTAACATGCATTTCGCACAAAAGAAATCAAGTAGCGCTCTGATAAAAGATTTAAATTGATTAATCAATCGATTGAATAATACTATCACCTGTCAATCACTTTAGAAAACATTTTAGCTACACAATCAATCCTGGTTTAAGAAAGTCTAAATTTTCACTCGAGCTGAATAATGCGCAATTTTATTACACTATGTGCATTGACTTAATGGAAAGCTTGTCAAATTGATAAAGGGATATTTTATGTTTGTAAAATCGCAAGCTTATACCCCTTTGATTTTTCAAATATAAAGCGAAATTACATGTTAATGAACAGCTTCATTGTATGAACTACTCAATTGATTAAATCCATGCCTTATATTATTAAGAATCTCATAAGGAGGAAGTCTTTTCTTTCTTGAGATAAGAAAAATAAGAACACTTCTGAAATTCAATTGACATATAATTTGTTTTTGTTGCATTTTGTCTCGAAGAGGGAAAGGGAGTGAAAATAAACACGTTTCCTGTTATAATTATAGACTGATTTAGCGATGACCATGTAAAGTCAAATTTCTCTTTTAGAATATTTTCAAATACTGCAAATGTTAATTCTATTTGTACAATTAACATGTACCGTGATTTGGATTAAAGTTAGCTAAAAATATCCATAGTTCAGCAAGAGGCCAAATTTAAATAGGGTAACGAAAAGAATCAGACATTCTGTAAACGTTATAATTCGGTATACGTTGCCTCATACACAGAACTCCAGCTACATTGTTTGCTTTTCTTTTTCATCATTTAACCCATTTTCAGCTTTCAAAACAAAATCAAATACGTTACCGTGTTTTATTTGCCAATTTCTTGGACAAATAAATCATCACTCTACAACACTAAGGTTCCTTTAAATCAATATTTACTTGCTTTAACATTTTATGATAAAACATCTGTATAACATGACAGTGGGTATGAAATAGTGAATAATTCCCCCTAGTAGATTTTATTGTGAACCTCAACAAACAAGAATATGAAATTTGATTTCTTTTAAGTATACAATGCTGTCACTTATTGCAAGTCAAATGGTTTACCTTGACGGAACATTAATTGTTCGACTTTTAAACAAATGTTGTAGAACATAACATGTGTCAGATATTGTGGATTAATTTCACTTTAACAGTTTACTTGGAGTGTAAGTTTGGTTTTATAGTAATTTGTAGTAGAATTAAAATAGTTTTACTAACACAACGACACCCGAGAGGGAAAACCAATTTAAAAATCTATTAAAGTTATGAATAATTTCAATAGAAAAAAACGATAAAGTACAAGGATTATACCTATTGGAAAATGTTTAGAAACTACACTATATAGTGTCTTTATGTTCGTTTAAAACTGTCGTAAAATATGCTACAATAATTTTATAAAATTGTACAAGTTTCTTAAAGTTTGTTCTATTGTTAAAAGGTAGAAAGACAGCAAAGTTTCCTTGAATCCGTTGCGGAGGAAGATTCTGGCTCTCAAACCGAAAGGCGCGTACAAATTGATATAATGGATGATTCTGGGAGAAAGTCAGAAATGGATGATCGTAAATCGGTGAATTCAACGCGAATGCCAAAGAACATGACACGCGCAATGCTCGTGCGTACTCCCGCAAATAAAGACGACGCTCCCGAACCGCCCCATGAGGAGGAAATCCAAGAGCACACTGAACAACAAGAACCGGACATTCTTATTACCGAACTAAAGGAACAACCTCCTGATATAGTTGAAGGTGACGCCGACGAGGAATCGGACATAGAACCAGAATATCAGCAGGTTACCGTGGAGACAGTAGACGCTGAAGAAGACTGGGATACTGATCTTGAAATAGAAGGTGAGTTTACAACCTGTGCGATTTAGCGATTTGCTTTTTTTATTTTATTTTAGAATATATCTACAATAATTTTGCTTAGGCCATATACGTAAATGTATTACATTTGCGGGTTGAAATAACGCTTTATGTTTTCTTATTTTAAATTTCAAAAGGAACTGTATGTGAAAGGATCAAATTTGATATAACTTATTGAAAATCGACGGACAGATCACTGGTCAAGTAGAAGATATTTCTGCAATTGGAAACCCTATCCTTTCTGTGTTATAATTAAGTAGTTAGAATGACGTCTACAAATGGTTAATTATTCAACTGATGTAAATGAGCTTTTATTCTCGACCACTTGATCTATAGCTTTTTGACGTTTAACCATTTTCCCGACTTGAAATTAAACTAAGCATGTGATTGTTGCATGTAATGAAACGTTTCCGTTTTCACTTATTTTACGACCTCCTGCATGTTGGCAAGTGAAACATTTTAAGTCTCCGTTTCAAGGGAACCGTCATTCTTTCCTGAGTAACCATATTTAAATTATTTTAATTGTTTTATTTGCGTATTTGGAATATATTTTAGATAAAAAAGGTAAGTAAATATCACATCACTATGGTATTGTAGTATAAAAGGGATGGACAAAGGCTTGAAAATAAATAAGCGTATTAACAAATTCATTCTCGACTTTTGAGGAAACTCTATGTATTAGGAGTATGCTTCAAGTAACTTGCGACTTATCGTTATAAGATTTTCTCCTACAATAGATTTTGTTTACTCGTAAAATTTCTTAAGAGTGGTGATAACAAGCCAACGGAATAAGAAAAATCAAAATCCGACAATTTAAACAATTTGGCAGTGATAATTGATACACATATAGTAAATTTTAGCTTGTCTATAGGTCATGAGAACGTTCAATGTATTTATGCAATAATACAGTTTGTCAATAGTTTTTTGTCAATATCGGAATTGTGCTATATAAAAAGCTGATCCTATATTTAAAAGTCAAATTTCGAGAACACAGCAAAAGCACGGATATGGTAGAATAATTAAAATGGTAGGCTAGTATTACGGTGGCAGAATTACGGCGGGCAGAATTTGGCTTTGCTGGTATTTCACTTCACAGAGAATCGGGCAACATAGTCCACTTATGCCTCAGTGTCCTTCCCTTATTGATCAGTCTAGTTTTCTCTAGACAGTGTTGTATTTATGTCTTATTAGTTCAAGTGATATACATGTATATTCATTTAGAGTACATGATTATTTGCTAAGCAGTTATTGTTATCATGTATAGTTTTGATAGAAAACATTTATAGTTTCATTGCATGACTGCATGATTGTAAAGTGGTATATAATAATAATAACAATAATAATAATAATCGGCGAACATAACATAGGGTACTAGTCTATCTGAAGACATCTCTAATACAATATATTACACATTCTTTACTTAATTCTTAAATAATGTTTCTAAAACTTACATTTAAACACTATTAACATAGTGTACAAGAAAAAATAATATTCAAACAATACTGACTCTTATGTTTTGTACTGATTGAAATTAACACTATTTCAGCTAAAAAGAGTAAGAACAGAACTTGATTCTTTTTCTATACAAGCATTTCATGGGATTTTGGTATCTTACTTCACTTTCTTGACACTCGATTTTTTCGGTGTTTTTTTTGCAGTTGTTTAATTGTTCTATTCATTGTGTATTTTGTATAACACTGATCATTTTCTATCATTATAATATGTTCTTTTAAATCTTCATGCATTCATATATTAAACATGCTTTTCTCTCTTACACTTTGGTATACATTTCAATCTATTATTATTCTGTGTGACTTCTATTAATTAAGCGGCACCAGTTAATTATTTTATTTGCTCAATACTCGGCTAAAATCACTTCTAATATTTGCATAAGTCTTATTCAAGGAATTTGATCCAGTGTCTTTTATATTAAGAAATTTGCTTAACACATGCCAGTTTAAATGTCACCTCCTGTTTTATATTTATGGAGTTCTTTTCGTGTTTTTCCCTTTGCTAACACTTCAATATAATCGTAAATTAATATAAGTCACGTCATATGGGACTGCTATGCTGAAGAATGAAGTGAGTGTTTGAAACCAAATACCCCCATAAAAAACACAAGATTTTTTTTTAAATTTTGAAATTGTCCTTTATCTTTTCTACAAGCTGGTCCCGTATTGACTGTGATGTGCGTTTACCAATATTTAAGTGTTTTGTTTCACCTGTTGTAACAACAAATACATTTAATGACGGCTAATGTTTACATACACATATATATTATTCATCACCAGTGTGTTATTATTTTAGATGAAATGATGAAGGAGGTTCGAAACCACGACCCGTCCGGTCGGTCGTACTATGACAAGGTGTGCAGCAGAATGGGACTGGTCCCTGTATCATATATAAAACGTCATATAACAGATAACGAAATAACGATGAGGTTCCACGGGTTAGGATCTAGCGCCACTAAAGCTATTGCTCTTGTTTTAAGGGTAAGTATGAAACTTGTATGTATATGTTTATATAAGGTTATTCTCTTAAACAGTAAGTGACTTTGTAGATCCACTTGGTAATCTACCTTGTGATTCGTCTTTATTGGTCTACCTTGTAATTTAATGTTGTGATCTTCTTGGTGATTTGATGTTATGGGTCTATAGTTATTTGCTTTTATGAATCCACTTGGTAATTTGGTTTTAAACATCTAATTGTTAATTCTATCTTTACTTAGTGTAATTTTTTTCCCTATTCTTCAAATACATGAACAATAATCGATACTTACTAAGCAAAATATCAAGTATACGCAAATGAATGCAGACTAATTTTATTATATACATATCAACAAAATTTTGAATTCGTATTTTAGTGTTGCTAATGTTGTTGCTATTGTTGTTGTTTAGGACAACATAACTCTGGAGAAACTGAATCTGCAAGGGAACTGGATAGAGGGAGATGGTGGGCTGGCAATGGCCCGAATGTTAGAGGAAAATGACTATATCACAGAATTGGTGAGTGAAATTATTGATATTTGTTTTTAATTCATAAGAAATTTAAAAAAATATACATGCATATAACTAGTAAATGAATGCAACGCTCGTGAAATGATTGGCTAGTAAAGGAATACATGTGTATGAAACTGTTATAAAATGGCTATAAATGATGTGACGGTCATGAAATAACTGTCTGGTAGGAATTGAATAGAACAGTCGTGTAGTTTTTAGTTATTTATGACATGAACAAATGTTTTGGAAAATTTCATATACAGTGTACTTATTTAAATACTTTCACGCACAATTGTTGCGCTGTCATAATTTGAAATGGAAAAGCACCAAAAAGATATGTACTGACTAAATAGCGAACAGTGCAGACCATGATAAGTCAGCATATATGTACCGGCAGATCTTTGTCTGCACTGGCTGCATGGGTGCAATCGATTGCCGCCAGCGAGCTAAGGGTAAACTTTACCTGAATATCGAACGATTTTATAATATTAATATTCTATTAGTTGTAAAGATTTTTGACAGGTTATATGACCCTATATGCATAAATAACATTGTCAAGAATCTTTATATACAGCAAACTTACTGTATTTGAGAAAAAAAGGAAATTACATTGTACTTTATAAATTCACAATAGCCGTGTATAAAGTTTATATAAACGCCACACTTATCAAACAAACCTGCGCAGTATTATAATTTTCAGTAATACCTTATTTTTCAGGTACTATCTGACAATAAACTTGGCACAGTAGGAGCACAATGTATGTGTAAAATGTTGTCAGTTAATGCCGGATTGAGGAAGTTAGATCTTTCAGGTGAGTCACAAATAAACTCAACTTTAGAAAGTACAAATATCAAAATATACATACATGTATTTTGGCATTCTTAGTAATCTTGAAGTACATGAACCTCGCATAGCGTATCGCATATTTGCTGATCCTGCCTTTACGTGTTGCATTATCTGCTAACTGTAGGGAGCTCATACCTTTCTTTCATGTAAAACAATAATATTTCTATTTGGAACATGTATTTCTGTTACTATTCAACTTTTCAAGCAGCTACGGTGTGACTTCTGTATTCAAAGTTTATGTTATATAATATAACTACAAAATAAATGGAAATCATTTTTAGCTCGACTATTCGAGGAAGAAAAGTGCTGTTATACTCACCAAGGTGTCGGCGTTTTAAGTGCACTTCGAAATTACTAAAGGGAAGGGGTTTTTGAAACTTAAACCCCTTTTATTTAGAAGGAATAACGGGAAACCCACTCCCCCGAATTCCAAAATCTCTAACATGGTTTTTTGGAAAAAGTTGAAACTTAAAAAAATTTTCTACATTATCCAGGCTTTTTTTTAAAACCTACATGCCCCAAAAGCCCTTGTGAAGAGTCAAGCACCCCCTTGCCCTACTGACAGCTTTTTGTTTTTTTAAAAAATAAGGGAAGGAAAATTTTTATGGGGGAAAATTTTACATATGAAATTTTAACACCCCCTTTTACCATGGCATAAAAAAATTTCAAAAACATTACAAAATTTTCTTTGGGGAAAAACCCCGCCCCAATTTTTGCAGACGCACTAGAGGTAACCCAAATAATACACGGTTCAGTTATAAATATAACAATCATGTAAAAAATAAACTATGGTAACAAAATATATGTTTTTCTTTTATACTTGTATATGTTCCGTACAATTATACAAATAACATATTGTTATAACCTTTTAACGCAAAAAAGTTATTTTAATCATTAACAGATGCGCATGTCAGGAAATATCAGTTCATGATTTACCGTGAATGTATAATTTTTCTGTAATACCCGTACAAATAATATATTGTCAAATCGGCTTTTCAGAATGCCAAATATCTCAAAGAACTATACTTATCACGGAATATGTTCGGATCTGAAGCCGGAGAAATATTAGGACCCGCCATAAGTAAGATATTCTATGTTACGTTATATAAAGAAAAAAATAGTGATTTGAATAATTTATGATTAATTTATTTTGAAATATGATAGAAACTATGCTTCCTTTTTAAAATAAGAAAAAATCTTCAAAAATTCTAAACACATATGTACCTAGATTTATAACAATTGCAGAAATTTTTTAGAATGTTTCCCCGGGGAAAAATTTAGTTTGGTTGTTTAAAAAATCTTTTTTTTAAAGGTCCCCAATGCCCATTTTAGAATTTACTTGATCTTAGGCTGGAAACGCACAATTTTCGAGGAAAAAGGTGCAATAGCCGTAGCCAAGGGAATTGGGGTGAGTAGGATTATACGTATTATAACATTGAAATGTTCTGTTCAGTCATTAAATTGAAGTACAACAATCATTTAAAAACTTAATTAGACGAGTATATAGAAATATTTGAGCGTAAAACATAAATTGATTATATTTTCACAAACAATGCCGTAATAAGACCATTTTCGATAAAGACAACTTGTAAAAGTTATTTCACTAAATGTCGCGATTCTGTTTTTAATTTAAGTTCAATTAGTTGAAGAGATCACAAGAGAAAAAAAGAAACAAAGAACTAATATTTTGTTTCATTTTTTAATTTGAATCTAGGAGAACGTGCGGTTAAAATCTTGTGACATCAGCTGGAATGGTTTTGGTCCAGAAGGTGGCGCTGCAGTCGCGGACGCCATGATTTCAAATAACTCTTTGGTGGAACTTGACATCAGTGGTAACAGACTGACCGCAGATACTGCTATGAAAATCGCAAGGATGATCGCATCAAATGATAATATAAGAAAAATTAGCGTAAGTACATAGTTAATATTAGAGTTTTTATCAAATTCATGATTGTATAACTTTAAACATGATATGTGAATAGACAGATATAGCTGGTGAATTGCATTAACAAATCTGTTTCTAAGCTAATTTTGTATGTGTATATTCATTTCTATAACAAAAATTTCGACCTGGTTTTTGTTTTTGGGAATACATTTGGTAGGAACTTAATTCTATCCAGAATGCATTGCTTTTCTCTTTCAGATCGGGAACAATATATTAACAACAGCCGGGGCTATTGCTCTTGCAACGGCTGTCAACAATGGAGACAGCAGTGAACTAGAGGAGTTAGATCTTACAGTATGTTATGTTTGTTTCCCGTTTTTTTTTAATATTGTCACAATGAAAATAAAGATATCGCGCAAAATTGTTTTACATGTACGTACCAATAAAGACAAAAATTGAAACGTTTCTGAAAGTAGACAAAAATAATGTACATCTTTTTATTAATTATTTAGCCAAATAAATAGAAAAGAAGAGTTGCTAGACATTTCTGTAAATTTGGTTTCATACAGATATACCATTTGTGTCCAGAGGGTAAAAAGATTCAAGAAAATTATTTATAATATTCAACAAGTTATTTTGTTTCCTCCACAGGATGTACCAATAGAGTTTGAATTTCTACGCATATTTAAAAGAAAAATTAAAATCGAAAAACCCAAAATTTTTTTAAATTGACTCAAGGGGAAACCCATTTTGTTAATTTTAAAGGGAAAATTACTGGGGAAATGTTTTGGGAAAAAACCGGCTTTTTCACCCATAAAAAAAGGAAAGAACCATTTGTTAATTTTAGATAAACCCAATTGTAGTGAATGACATGGGGAATTATTAGATTTCTAAAAAAAATTATAAAACCCGGATGGAGCTTTCCCAAGGGGGACCCCGGGGAAGACTTTTTTAAAAACCCGTTGGGGGTAATTATAAAATTTTTTGGTTAAGCCAAAAGGCAAAACCCAAAATGCTGGCGTTTTTTCGTGAATTTTATTAGATTAAAAAAGAGATAACGAGCAAAACTGTCAAAACACAGTGTTTAAATTGTTCACTTTATAATTCTTATTGGCAGTCAACAATGTTAAAACCTTAACCTGCTGGAACCGTTCAACTGGAAGTGATAACATAGCCTTTGACATTAGCACCGGACCAAACCAGTCTGCATATCCGTGCAGTCCGGCTAGGCTTTAAAATGATATTATTTTGATATTGAAATCCCTTGTTTTTTGGACTGTTACAAATTTGATATGGGACAAATCCATTAAATAAAAACAGCAGGTTAAAGGAATTGTCGGTAGCCTCGTAATAACACAGATCTAAACACAGATTAATGTATGATGGTATTTATAGTATTTCATGTAAGACACGTGGCATTTTTTTTTCCCAAACTTTTGGTTCCCCATTTTAATTTGTCCCCCAACCCAATGGAAAAAAGCAAAATACAGGGAAATAAACGCCCGTTTAACTCCAACGAGTAAAAAATGCCCCATCGGAAAAAATTTTGTGGAAACCCCTTCCTTTCCCTCTTGTAAAGCACCCATCAAAGGGAAAACGTGTGACACGATAAAAAAAGGTGGTTTTTCATAATTTTTAAAAGTTTAAACAGACATTTAAAATGAAAAAAATATGGGAAATGAAATTTTAGCAAAGGGCGATTTTGTTTTCCCCGAGAAATGAAAACCATTTTAAAAATATTCCCCGTTGGGTTTTTGGAGCAAAATTTGATGGAAAAATCCCCTGCAAAGGGCAGTCACTGGGGGTAGTTTGGAAAAACTGGAGAGAACCTTTCCCCGGGGGCCCAAAATTTTTAACTTTAAAAACCCCGTCGTTTTTTGTGAAGTTTTGTGCATTTTAACCTAAAACAGATGCCAACAAGTCTTCAGCTTAAATTATTATCTGAAAGTCTTCATAGAAACGAAGATAAACCCTTTTTTGCTTTTAATCCTCGTTGTGAGCACCATAACCTCGTTGTGAGCAAGACAAGCGCAGTGCTTGTCTGATTTTAATATGTAATTCAAATGGTGAGAATACAATTTTCAATCTACCAAAAGCAATCAAAACGTTTTTTGCACAATATTTTTTTTTGCAATAGTTCTTCTTTTTCTACATAACTTGGCCAGTCTAACATGAATGAAGCTCAGGATAAATACATGCATGTTTATAACTCGCAACACGAAGTATACTGGATGCAGTTAAATACATAATTTCCCTCCCTTATTAGTTCACCAGCATTTGCACAAACAGCAAAACATTTGCAAAATCGTAGGTATATTTACCATTAATTTATCTATTAAGCTAAGAATATACTTGTGTAGTGTTTAAAAGTTACAACACACTAAATAAGTAATCCTTCGCGAAAAACGATAGTCGAATAATAACAGATTCAAATAGTTCTCGGCGTTTGTTTGCTCTGTAGAGCATTTTTCATGATTTTAGTTGCACTGTCTTTTTTTAGAAAGCTCATGACAGTCTGTGTTTGACATTTAAATAGCATTTTCATCATGAAATAGTGGCATTTCTAGAAAACTTCTTGACTTCTTAGGTGTTACACCACTAGTACAATTTTGGGTTAGCTGATTTTGAAAAGAATGTTTTGCAAGAGCCATGACCCAAACTTTTCTTTTGATTTTTATGCATCACTGACAGTTTTTTCTAGTAGTTCTAATCTTTTTAAGGTCCAGGGCAACGACCCCCATGTCCAAATCAACTAAAATGTTGAAAATTATTCTTCATATTCACATGTCATCAGATTAACAGAATAAGTAATCAGGGGAGATAAATCAGGTATTTTAATTTCGGATACTATAGTGTGGGCTTTAGGCGAGTGAAGCATCACGGGGAATTTATGAAATATTTCAACAATTTCACAATCTGTGTGATACACACAAATACATGTGTTTATCCTGAGCTGAAGACTGACAAAAGTGTGTAGAACAAGAACTGTCACGGTAAGTTGACAATGCCACCGAAGTGGTGCTATATATGTCCTTTGATTTATAGACCAGATAGATTATTTGTTTTTTGACAATTAGATCTTCAATGTGAAGGTCATTCAAGGTCAAGGTGAAATAAATATAGGTCAGTTGGAAGGTCTTGTCCAAAGGGGCATTGTGTCCAAATATGAATTAATTCCACTTACTAATAAAGAAGTTATGACCAATGTTAAAGCTTTTGGATGTTCTAGAAAGTCATTCAGGGGTCAAGGTAAAAAAATACAGATCAGTTTGAAGGTCTTGTCTGAAGGGGTGTTTGTGTCCAAATATGAGTAGAATTCGTATACTAATAAGGAAATTATGACCAATTTTTAAGTTTTTGGACAATTTAACCTTCAAGGTGAAGGTCATTCAGGGGTCAAGGTCAAAAGAATATAGGTCAGTTGGAAGGCCTTGTCCAAAGAGGTGTTGTGCCTAAATATGAATTAAATTGATTTACTAATAAGGACATTATGGACAATCTTAAATGTTTTGGACAATTTGACCTTCAAGGTAAAGGCCATTCAGGGGTCAAGGTAACAAATACAGGTCCGTATGAAGGTCTTGTGCTAAGGGATGTTGCGTTCAAATATGAATCAAATCCGTTTACTAATAAGGAAGTTATGGCCAATGTTAAAGTTTTCGGAACGGATTGACGGACTGACGGACGGACAGTTCAAAACTAATATGCCTCCCTTCGGGGTATGCGCAACGTCTTGCAAAGAAATGCTGCTGTGTAAAAACGGTTTAATTGCTTTGGTAGATTAAAAATTATGTTTTCACCATCTGAATTACATATAAAAACCAGACACACACTGCGCTTGTCTTACTCACAACGAGGTTATGGTGCTCACAACGTGGATTAAAGCAAAAAAGCGTATATCTTCGTTTCTGTGAAGACTTTCAGGTAATAATTTACGCTGAACACTTGTGGGCATCTGCTTTAGGTAAGAGTGCACAAAACTTCACAAGAATCGACGTTTTCAATGTTAAATATGGTCCGGAGAGAAGTTCTCTCCAGTTTTCCAGCTACCCCGAGTGACTGCGTCGCACGGTATTTCCATCAAATTGTCCACCAACAGGCAATATCTTTACATGTGCATACTCGGAAAACACATCGCTAGCTAACTGCATTCCGATATTTTTACATAAATGTCAGTAATCTTCAAAAATTATGAAAAAATCACCTTGTTTATCGTGTCACACGTCCTAGATGGATGCTCACAACGAGGAACGGAAGTTGCTCACAACATTTTTACCGATGGACATTTTTCACTCGTTGTGAGTTAAACGGGCGTGTGTATACAGAGTGAGGAGGAAGATTGTTTGACAGCATTGTCATTTAGTAGCTCGACCAGTGTAATGTACTCTCACATAGGGTCCTCCTATTTTCTGTTAGAATGACAATAATTCATTAAAGTCTCAAGCAGACAACAAACAGAGCCAAAATAAATCTTCAGTATTGACTACACATGACTTTTCAATCTGAACGCTTACATGTTTCACTTGTTTATCTGAAAAAAAAAATTTTTGATAAACCACATATAACATATCTTAATTATTGGCATGTATTTTAGGATCTAGCGGTGCCATTTAATAAGCCAAAGTTACAGGATGCCGTCACAAGACTTGCTGATACACAAGAAGGAAGAATATATTTTGGGTAAGTTTCTTTTCTAAAAAGATATGTCTGAAAATATATTTTGGTTATCATGTGTTATTGTAACATGTAGGCATTTACATCATGATTTACGACCATCACTGCCACTGAACGTTTGAAAGCGTTTTTTTAAATATTCATTAAAACTTTTGCGTTGAAATCAAATATGAAATTTGGTAATTTGATATTTATAATTAAACTATCCTACATCTTTATAATGTTCTTCAGTGACTTCATTAAGCAACAGCAGAATGAAATGAAGACGAAGTCTGGTGGCGAGGATGAAGAGATACAAGGGCCGACGGAGTAACACGGAGAACGTCGGAGTAATACGGAGAACGCCATGACTTTAGATACATAATGTATATCGCCAAATTTTACAGCATTTTCAAGAAACATTTTACAAGTGTCTTCAATTTATTGCTCTTTACTTTATAAGATTCGTCTCATTGCCATTAGGTTTACTTGTCATATCTGTGATTGCAAATTGATATTTTTAAATAGATTTTTTATATTTTGTTCTTTTCATTCAAAGCAGCTATTTGATTGTTTTTATTTTACTTTGCTTTCCTTAAAAGGTGGCTAGATCTACTTATAGCACTTGATGTGTAGCTGAATGGTATGGTTGATTAGTCTGAACTGCTGAAAATATTTGAAATATCGCGTTTTGAAATATAACGTGTGATGTGGAATGGATATTTAATGGTACATTGCCTCATCAAGGAAGCTGTATTTGACTAGTAGACTTCTTAGACTTTTTAATATTATTGAAAGCTGAGTGCAGCATAAAATGTAACAAGAAACACCACTGATGTTGTTGTACCTAAATGTATACATTCACATTTCTTTTTTTTTTCTACTTTTTTTTATTTAACCACTTTCCTACAGAGGAAAACTATATAATCCTTACTTTATATAGGTGCAAAAATAAAGTGATTACATTCGTATCATTCAGTTGTTTTGCGGATACAGTCAAACCTGAAAATATGAAACCATTCTTAAAACTTGGAAACAATTTCATCAACATTTGATGTCTTAAAATTGGAATCGTGGTGTAATTGTTTTCATTCACTTTTTAGGACAGTTTCGAATGTATTCATAATTATAAGACGTTCGAGTCAATGTAAATTATGAATTTAGGTTTCCATTAGAGTGCAATACAAATTAACAGTTCCTTCAGTTCAACAACTTAGTAAGTTCGTATTTATTTGTGTAATAAACAGAATACAATGTAATTATCAGTGCATGTACATAGAACTTCTATGGCTTTACGAATTGTACAATTATTTATTTTTCTGTGATATATAATGTGATAAATTTACGTGTTGAATTTGACATGTTCTGCAATGAAGCAGAAATAAAATGTGCTTTACAATATTTCTTCAATAAAACTTGAAACTCCAATGATTTGTTTTCTTTTAGTCACGTGCATGGTAGTAAAATACGGGTATGATAACAAAAATCGTATTACATGTATTCATTTATTCATGGTGTTATTGCATTTGATATCATACTTATATTCATTAATCAAAGTAGTGAAATAGTAATCATTAATGTTCTCCAGAACTACGTAAACATGATAAAAATGCCAATTATGATGTCTTTAATAACAGCGTTAGTGCATGTAACCTCGGTGCCAAAAGTGTCACCTTTGATGTGAACAAGATGGTTATGATCCATAAATATGTTTGTTAAATAAATGAAGCCATTTTTAATATACAGTTGGCTGGGATCTTTCCCAAATACTCATGTTCACTTTCATGATTGGAAAATTTGATTGAAAAAATTACCAGCTCGAAAGAAATCTTCCTTGGCGTATTGGTTACAGGCATACACGCTGAAATAACCAAATCATGGAACAATTAAACTGTTACCAAGAACAAATATTCAAAACATGGTATCTTTAGTTTGATATTATATAAAGGTGTTGTTAAAGAGTTGCCACTTTCAGCACTTTCCCGTTTTTTGGAAATGCACTTTATCAACAAGAAAATACTATTAACATATTCTGAACAGGATAGAAACAAAATATGTACGTATTATTTCCAACTTTATACATTTTCGATCATCTAATTGAAAATTATGAAAAATACACAACTGGAAATAGCAAGGAAACAGAATTTAATGATAATAGCAAAGAGCTGTATTTGTGATAAGTCTCTGGTAATAGTGAAGAAACATATACATGCTTAAAATCAACCTAAGCAACACAGGCTATATCTTAATTATCGTTTATAATCAATGCGAGAACATCAACAACCAGTCCACCATCGGACCACAAGCGTATACTTCAGCTTTTGTACAGATCTAGAATTTCTTGTAAATTATTGCAAAGGTTAACATACTAGTACCTCAAGTGTACTTCTGTGGTACTTTGTTAAATTACCTCATTAAAATTATGCCAGTTACAAATATGTGAAATAAGATGATACGGTATGGTCACAGAAACCATTTCAATGGCACATTATATTACTCAATAGATTTGACGACTTTAAACAATTTAAAAATATTTAAGAACTGTATACTATTCTAATCAGCACCATACTCATAAAATATAGATATTCTTATGCTATGTTAACTTGTAGTGCAGCATTTATGTGAAATATTGTGTTGAAGCCATATAGATACATATACGGCAAGAAAACTTCGGCCTTTATTAGTTATAAGCTTAACAAAATGAACGATATGAGCAATGTTGTGTTCATCAAAAGAAATGCTGATTCTGTTGTGTTTTTTTCATACAAGTTGATCACGAACTAAGCTTCTAATCTATTAATCGTATATTCTACGATGCATGTGCGAAATGGTTTTGTGATATATTTCAGGTAATGGTACATGGTTTAGGCTGTTTAGACATGTATATTCTCAGCAACAGCATGCTAGATTCACTGAAATAGCATGCATGCATCACTAAATTGTCAATGTAAACTGCATGGAAATGTTTAAATATTGTGTATATACATGTATAAGCGGTTTTTTAAATTAATCATGATTCGTTTTTCATACAATGGAAATTTAGAATTATATGTTAATTATAATGACAGCTAACTTTCTACAAACTCTGGCATGATGCATCTACTTTCACAAAAGTATTATTATGTCGTCATAAATGATTGTTCGCCAAATCCTTGTAAATAGGTTACTTATGGTTACAAACCGCTTTAATTATTCTCTTTTCCAAAAGCACACAAATTTGATGTATGAATTTGTTGGTCATACAGGACATATAATATAACAAGTCATACAAAGGGATACAGGAAGAATTTGTTCATTTTAGTCCGTCTCAGAAAGTCATACAGTCATTACAGGGGACACATAATACCACAAGAGTCATACAGAGGGATACAGGAAGAATTCGTTCATTTTAGTCCATCTCAGAGAGTCATACAGTTCATTTTAATTTTAGTCCATCTCAGAGTCATATAGGGGACACATAATACTGCAAGAGTCATACAGAGGGATAAATTGTGAAAAATGGCCGTTTTCATTGAAAAGCATCCTGTTACAAGTTCAAACTGCTATGAAACTATGAAAAATGCTTCAATACTGATGAAACCTGGCACAATTAATATTAACTGGACCATAACCTCTGTAAAATCATGCTCAATCTTAAATTTCCTGTTACCATGGCAACGGGGGAACGTCACAAAATTGCAAAAAGTCACTTTATGAAATTTCCGGCGTGGGTAAATCTAACGGAAACGCCAGTCTGCTATGCAAGAAACAGGAAGAATTTGTTCATTTTAGTCAATCTCAGAGAGTTATACAGTCATACAGGGGACAAATAATACTACAAGAGTCATACAGAGGGATACTGGAAGAATTCGTCCATTTTAGTCCATCTCAGAGGGTCAGACAGTCATAAAGGGGACACACAATACCACAAGAGTCATACAGAGGGATACAGGAGGAATTCGTTTATTTTAGTCACCCTCAGAGGGTCATTCAGTCATGAATACAGGGGACACGTACACGTACAATACCAGAAGTCATAAATCGAGGAATACAGGAAGAATTCGTTCATTTGAGTCACTCTCAGAAGGTCATGCAGTCATACAGGGGACACACACTACCATAATAGTCATATAGAGGGATACAGGAATATTTTGTTCATTTCAGTCCATCTTAGAGAGTCATACAGTCATACAGGGGACACATAATACCACAAGAGTCATACAGAGGGATACAGGAAGAATTCGTTAATTTAAGTCCATCTCAGAGAGTCATACAGTCATACAGGGGACACACAATACCACAAGAGTCATACAGAGGGATACAGGAAGATTGTTTTCATTTTAGTCCACCTCAGAAAGTCATACAGGGGACACACAATACCACAAGAGTCATATACATGTATATTGAGGGATACAGGAAGAATTCGTTCATTTTAGAGACAAAAAGATATATCTTCAAAAGTGTTTTATGAAATTGTGAAATATGATTTATGACCAAAAGGAATGTGAAAGTTTTTTTTACCAATAAAGAAGAGTTTGCCACTGTAACACCTTGTGTAACCCTTGTCGTGAGGGGGCCGGTGATTGTCCAACGGTTACCGGAGACCGTGACAGTCCGGAGACCGGAGTCTGTCGATTAGTTGGTCCTCAGAACTCGTACGATTATTATTTCTTCCGGGTTGAATTATTTAAGATCAAAATGGTTTTAAAACGCTTTATGAGTTTCCTTGAGTACTGGTATCTTCAATATACACTCAACACTGCGGTATACATGCTTGAACCGACAGAGGTCAAGATAGTCAGTATCCTTTTTGTCAAAAGTTTTGTGAGAGCATCAAATGGGCGGGGCAAATAGTTTTATTCGTACACATATTGTTTCGTAACAAAATGCATACACTGTAAATTCTATCTATACACCAGAAAAAGATACATTCAGGCTTCATTGCAAAATAAAGATGAACATGAGGATTAACTTTTTTAGAAAAATCACAAGATGCATCTTACTAAACAGTTAAGCCCAGACTGTGTTAAAGTTAAAAGTGACCTCACTGTTATTGACTATTGTATAATACTATTACTAATAAATGAGGGGCATTTGTTGCCGAGAAGTTAAGGTCATTGACTTCAATCCACTTGCCCCTCGCTGCTGTGGGTTCGAAATTGGAATCCTGAAAGGAACTTTGGATATTTTCATGCGAGGTAGCCTAATTAATTTGGCGTGAACGGTTTGACCCATTTTACAGACTTTTTTTCTTACTGTCAAACCGTTGAAAAAAGACAGCGCCCGTCCAAAATTATCTTGGTGTCTCTTTGACAAGTCTAATTAGTTGGACTACATGTGAGGTAGCTATCCAGGTATCTTATGTAGGCCCTATTGACGGTGTTACTACTTAGGTGCCTGTTAGTCTCAATATTTCGACGGCAAGACAGACCGATTTTATTATCTGATATTTAATAGATGTCTGTCTTTACGAAGGGCGACCATCGTGTATATAAAAAAAGCCCTAAAGCGCACAATTTGTTGGGCTAGGTGCCTGTTTGAGCCTGAAATAATGCACGGAAGGGTACCTGAGGTCCTCCTCCACCGGTAAAGCTGGAACATCGCCATTTCACCTATACTGTGTCTGTTAGCCTATTTAATTCAAAGGGGTACGGCTCATTGAATGTTCATAAAATATGTGTTTGATGGTTGAAAACATTTATCCTCAGTCAGAAATGAATTCTAAGTCCAAGGACCATTACACTATATACTAATATTTAGATGTCTATATATTATTATATAGTGTTCTGAATTAGGATAACGGTTTGACCCATTTTACAAACCTTTTTTTTCACACTGTCATACTGTTCCAAAATTATCTTTATGTTGCTTTGACAAGTCTTTTTAGTTTGATATGTGTCGGTGTGATGTAAAATCCTATCAAACAAACTAAAACATAAAATTGTATAAGTAGAATCAGTCAACAAAATTTTCATGCTTAGTATGGTAAAAAGTGTGTAATCTCGGTAGAAAAGTTTCATTACATCATTCCAATTGTCATTTGATTAATTTGCAGTCAAACTACCCTATTCTCTGTGACAAATGATGTTGCAGTCTTAAAATATCACATGTATGTAATTTGCTTATAAAAGTAAAATTGTTTCTTTGTCATATATGTAGTTTGTTTGACCTTAATCTATGTGCAGATTCAATACTCATTGCAACAATAGCTATATTTCTATATTCGGCCTATGTGTTCCTTCCTGGACATGCTGTGATGATGATGCATTTCTTCGAGTACCTGTTCAGCTCAGATTCTAGCAGCTCACAAATTAAAGTTTCCTGATATGTATGCATGCTATTAAGGTAAGTGAACAGACATTTCTTTATTACCATTTACATCAAAACATTTGAATTTAATTATCAATGCCAAATTATCTGTAATTTGATGCTAAAAACTCTCTGTTGAAACCTTTCACATATACTAAGTTAATCATTTTCAAAATATTCTTTAACCTGGACAAGGTGATAAGTTTTATAGCTTAAATGTTATTTCCATTATCGTTTCAAATGGTTTATATAGAGTGAGACCATTGATTGATTTATTATTTTCTGATTTATCAGTTATTATAGTTTAATATGACAGTACGGTAATAAGATAATAATAAGATAATTCTATTTTGAGAGAATCAAGAACCAGATTATATGCACTGTCTGGAACACAAGTTATAGATAGTAAATTAGTCTTGTGAATTGTTTTCTCTTTGCAATCCATATTTATTGTATAGCACTATATGTAATTTCTTTCAGAAGTGTTAACATATCATGGCTCTTGTGTAGCTGCAAAACTGCTGGAGAAATCTGCAAATCAAACATAAAAGACTTGCCAAGATATATTTTATAATGATTATTAGATCATAAAATTTTATTGTCTCTTATAAGAGATATTTTCCAGTAATTGATTACATTATATAGATATGTAGTTGTTTTTTGTTGTTGTAATTTTGCAGGCATTACCTGTGTAAGCATTTAATGCAAAAACATAAACATGATTTAGAGAACCTTTCAGACAGTGTCTGATCTTTCTTTTTTTCCTTTAAAAACTATTTAGTTAATTATTTTTAGTGTAAAATTTTATCTGGCTACTTTTTATCCATGTTAAATGGTGGTTATATTGGTTCATTATCCAGCAAGAAGCACTAGCTCTGTTAAATTAAGGGATTTATTTGCTAAGTTATGGTTATGGTTAAATAAAAGAAATTAAGTAATGCGAAAAAAATGTAATTCAATGTTTTACATGAATTATATGTATATAGACACACAAAAAATGCCACATTCATGTTGAATTAGCAGCATGTAGACTAACAGCAAAATAGTAAATTTATATATAGGAATTTGTTTTTCTTTGATTAAGTCTTCTTGGTGGAAATATGTTAGAAGAGGTTTCACTCAATTCTAATTGAATAATGAGCTGGTAGTTATTCTTGTAAAAAAAACAACAACCTGGTTTAAGGAATAAAACAAAGACAAATATATGTTACTGTTGAACAGTTTTATACAAAAAAAAAGAATTTATTGCCTTATAAAGATTTGCTTTAATTATTTAATTGCTCATTTTATGTTTTTGTTACTTGTACATATTGTCCAATTGTCCATATTTTCACATGCCTTGTCAAAAAATATTACATGTACACAATTTTATAAATTATAATTAAACATTTTTTTGAAAGGTATAAAAATATCTGTATTTAAACATGCATATCTTTTTCCCATGCTTAAATTTATATATTTGACTCAGTTTAGTTTTCAGAGAAATGAAACTATATTTTACCTCAATAAGAAATTAAATCAACCATGTGAATGACGCTTCAAACAAAATAAAATCCTGCAAGGCCTGCATATCGAAAGTTGGTATAATCTATAAAAAATATATGATTGAAGTTTGGGTTCTCATGAAATGAAAAAAAATAATGTCCATTTTTTTATAGGTTTGTAATCACTAGCGCATACTGGTATTCACTAATTAATGGAGTTGTTTTCTGATTTTTACTGTACTCGGAGAAACAACATCCAGTAGCATTACCATTTTAACCAAAGCATTTTATTTCATTTATGTAATAGCATTGTATATTTTAACAACATTTTATTCATTCATAAACTCTGTATAGTTTTTTTAGATTTAAAAATGTTAAAGGTATGTGTTCAATAAAGATTGCTTTAATGTTAATATGTCTTTTTTTTGTATTACAATGATTTTAATAAGTTTTTCTTTTATATTTATATAATAGATAGAGCTGTCCTCACCTGGGTGACCTCATCAGTGGAAACATTTTGGTTATGTTAATGCTTTTAACTATCCTACTCCTTCAGTCCTTACTTTAGTCATAACTTTTTTTTGACAAAATTATGCCCCTATTGGGACCTTATGTTACGTACTCGGAATAGTTGGCTCATCATTGTACCAAATCTTAAACCAAAATTTTATGTTAAAATGGGAGCATAATTTAGAGTGAGTAAAGAAAAATTGGAAATTGAGTCTAATTGTCACTTGTCCCACACCAGTGATCCAGAAATCTTGTGGGATTATTGCCCCAAAATATTAACCTGCCAATTTTGTATACATTGTCCTGTAGTTGATTTGGTATTTTAAGCCATATCACCAAAGTATGAAAATTATTACCACATGTGGAAAGCAACTTGAACAATTCACTATACAGAAAAGTTCAGTGGTAAACTGAAGCATTCACACATAAAAGATGTGTGGTTCAAGCCCAATAGTTTATTTTTATAACTTGTTCTACATGATACAGGCTCTTGTTTTACTATCAAGTGCTGCAGACAGCTCTTGTTTAGTTAGACTATTTGAAGAATTGCGTGGCTATCCTACTTATCTGGGCATTGGTGGCTGTTTTTTTTGTGCCCCCACTTTAGTGGCGGGCATTTAGATTTACCCTTGTACGTCCGTCCTTCCATCTATCAGTCGGTCCGTTCTCTTTTATATCGCACCTAACTCAAGAAGTATTTGACCTAGAGTCATGAAACTTTACAGAAATGTTGATCAGCATGTGTAGTTGTGCACCTGGGTATTTTCGTCTGGATATTTTTATTATTTTTAGAGTTATTGCCCTTGACTTAGTAAAATTTTGCAATTTTCAACTTGTGTCGCATGTAACTCAAAAAGGATTTGACCTAGAGTCATGAAACTTTACAGGAATGTTGATCAGCATGTGTAGTTGTGCACCTGGGTATTTTCGTCTGGATTTATTTAATATTTTTAGAGTTATTGTCCTTGACTTAGTAAAATTTTGCAATTTTCAACATGTGTCGCATGTTACTCAAAAAGGATTTGACATAGTCTAGAGTCATTAAACCTTATGGGAAGGTTGCTCAGCATATTTAGTTTTGAACCTGGGATTTCGCTTGTGGATTTATCCTGTATTTGTAGAGTTATTTCCCTTGACTTAGTAAAAACCATTTCATTATGTTGTTATTTGTTCCTTGAGTTAGAATCAACCAACTTTACAGGAATAATGATCAACATCACTAAATTACAGGAATAATGATTCACATCACTGTGAAGCTATGCACCTGGGACTTTGCATGTGGATTTTTTTTCAGTTTTGTTAGAGTTATTGCCCTTGACTTACAGTAGTATAAATTTGCAATTTTCAACTTGTTCATGCATAGCTCAAAAAGTATTTCACTTGTAGGCCTGAAAAGTTACAAGAATGTTGGTCAGCATGTGTACTTATGCCCCTTGGGGTTTGCTTGTGGATTTATTCAGTATTTGTAAAGTTCTTGCCCTTTACTTAGTAAAAGATTTTTAGTTTTCAAAAATTATTTGACCTAGTCATAAGATTGACAAAACAGTGGCGCGGTGGGGGCACCCGTGTCCTATGGACACATTTCTAGTTTGTGTTTGCATAACACTTTGATAACAAAGATTTACTTTAACTTCTTTAACAGATCATTTCTCAGCAACTACTAAATATATTTGCTTGTAACTTCACACACTTATACAAGATGAGATCATAATAGGTCATAAATTTCCTGGTAGTTTTGTATGCAACATCTGTCTTCACAACACTGGAGGTTTGCACTTAAAACAGGTCTTTGTTATCATATCTAGAGGGCACTATCAAAGGCTGATAACTGTGGCATTGATATGGAATAGAGTCTGTCTGAAAAATTAGTTTGTCTAAAAGTCATCTAACATATAACTCTAAAAAAATAATTTTTCTAATTTAATCATAAAAGGATTACAGAAAAATACAGTATTTAATAACATAGTTTTTATTAAGAATATAATATGCAGCAGTTAAACAGAAATTAGCATAGCTTCACATATATAAAAGTTTTTCAACCAAGTATAGCACAATCATATTGATATTATGATATAGTGTAACACTTAAAATAAAAATTTTTTTTCATCTTTGTACATTTACAAATGAAATAAATGAATGTTTATACTTTATAACATGAACAGATAACAAGATTTCCATTGTCACAAACTACGCCTGTCACATCTCATGATCGTGAATATTTGTCTTGTGTAAAACGCTCCATGCATGTAGAATGTATGCTATGCACAAAATTTAGACATTAAATTACCTTTGGTGACCTTGACCTTACATGTGTTGACTTGAATATGCTGGCAATACTCAGTCTCATGATTGTGAACATTTGTGATATAGTTCCTCTATTAAAGACTATAAAATTGTCCATTATACACACAATTTCATTTTTTTTCTATGTGACCTTGGCCTCAGGGACCTGAATTTCCTGTGTGACACTCCATCTTAAAATGGTGAACAGTTTTGATGAAAGTATACATTAACAAATTAAAAGTTTTAAAAAATACAAACAGTTAAAGAACTTCAGGATTATACAATAAAAAGCCCTAAAGCTGCTAGAACCTAAATTGACTATTCAGTTAAAACAAATTTACAGGCCTGATACTATACATGAATAGGAAAGATTTGCTTAAAAGTACTGAAACTGTGTACCCATGAACAGACAACTTTTTTTTTACTGTTCTCTATAATATTACAATGAAGATACATGTATATCATTATAATTTCAGTAGATAGGAAGGACAAAACACAGAGACACTAACACATAAAATAAATGTATTGACTAGAAAAATATATTGCTCCATTTAGGTCTTGAAAAATCACCAATTTTACATGACAATCAAATTTTTGAATGGCACATATATTTTTTGCTGTCTAACCCTTAACCTGCTGTAACTGAATGTGATAAGCCTTTCTCACTTGTAATGAGCTAGGCCAGCCTGGATATCCATGAAGTCTAACCAGGCTCTGTTCTGTAGCAGTTCTTATTTCATAGTTTGATATTCTATATAACCCTGGGTGATCGTAAGAGGCGACTAAATGCATTGGCATTACTATATAGAGTCTATGCATCTCTTAGCTCAGGCAGGTGAGGTGTTTTTGACCACTGGTGTTAAATTTGTAACACCTGAGGTTAGCAAAAATCATCTTAACTGTTTCAGCGCCATATGACATAAATATTGTTGGTGCGCGATAAAACCAAACAAATATAATTTGATATTGAAATACCTTACAGTTTGAATGGACTGTTCCAAATTCAAAGCAGGGCAAATCCATTACACAAATTCAGTAGGTTACAGGTTAAATAAACCACACCTTATACAGAAGACCTTACATCATCTCACACTTGTTGACACAAATTAGTAAGGACAATAACATTATAAAATATATCTAATATTAAAAATACCAACACGCTTCCAACCAATATCCTTTAAATATAAAGTTCATAAAACAAAAAAACAAAGTGTCCTCTATAAAATCTCAATGTGTCAGAACATAACAAACTCTCAGTACATGTGTACAAGAAATTGGCACAGATAGAATGTAATAAAAGCATCAGCAATTTACATTGTGAGTATATACATGTATTAGTCGACCTTTCAATACTCATAAAAACATAAATATTCTATTATTTTTTTGAACAGTCTATACAAATTTGAACACAATACGTATCTTAACAAGAAATTGACAATCAAATATTCTGTACAATGTTTAAAACAGTTGCGAAGTGTAATTATTATTCTGTAAAATATCAAACTTTGTATGTCTCCATTTTTCTGTATAACTGTTTTCTTGGAAGGATTTTTTTTAACATTTTAAACCAAAAGTCATGAAGTAATGTAGCAAAAAACAATTAACAACAATCGACTTTCAAGTTTTTCAAAGACTTCAATATTGATCACTGAATCCTTTCTTTAATACAACTTTAACACTGGAGTAATTTCATGCTTTATTTAAAGGCCCATTATGCCCCAAAAATGCTTTTTGTTCTTAAAAAGCTTTTTTTAAAAAAATTTTGGTGTCCTGTCATAGTTTCTAAAATGTTACTCATTTGCCAATTACCTACTTCAATAACAAATTATTTAACATTAACGCTTGCCAATTCCCTACTTCAATAACAAATTATTTAACATTAACGCTTGCCAATTCCCTACTTCAATAACAAATTATTTAACATTAACGCTTGCCAATTCCCTACTTCAATAACAAATTATTTAACATTAACGCTTGCCAATTCCCTAATTCAATAACAAATAATTTAACATTAACGCTTGCCAATTCCCTACTTCAATAACAAATTATTTAACATTAACGCTTGCCAATTCCCTACTTCAATAACAAATTATTTAACATTAACGCTTGCCAATTCCCTACTTCAATAACAAATAATTTAACATTAACGCTATTTTCTCCAAGTGAAAAGCATCTTACGTGCTCTGAAACAGTTATTCCAACATTTTAACACCTATATTTGGTCATCCTAAAATGGGAGAAAAATTATTCCTCTCTGAGGCATAATGGTGTCAAATTAAAAGCTTTTATTGGCAATAATTTTCGTACAATAAAGTTTTTGCAAAGCTTTGTTTAGCATGTTGTGTGAAAATTAGCTTACTATGACATTATACCAGTAATATTTTTATAATACAATGTACAACCTTATATTATATGTAAAAAAATAAACTGCCATTCTTTTGGAGGCCATTTTGCTCAAAACTAAAAGAAATCACAAAGCAATGCATAGTTCAAAACAAATGTTAATTAGAGAAAATTATGACATTATTAAAACTACAGCTGCAGAAGGTAAACATTTGAACAATGTGAGCATGAAGAAGCATAATTGTAGCAGGGGCTCTGAAAATTTCTTTGTTCAGGTAAACATTGGAGCCTACTTTGAAGAATATACATTAAGAGTGATAATATTTATATGATGTGACAAAGTAATTCCGGAATAGCACCCTCGACATGTTTATGGTGTGGGTGTAATAAAAATTCCATTTTCTGAAAAATTCATCACAATAAAAGTAACCATGTGTTGAAAATAGATTAAAAATTAGCATTTATCCAATAGACATACGATTACAATCATCATTGGTCAAAATAAAATACTAATATAACTACTAGCAGATTTATATATGTCCGAGTATGTCAGATATGAAACTGTGTCAGTAACGCAATAACTATTCTAAATCATTAAAATGCTCAATTTATACACTATGTTATTAAATATAGAAAACATTAGCTTTACTTGTTCACTTGTTGGTTTATGTAATGTATAGATATCAAGGGATCATATGGCACACAGATTTTACTAGTTTATTATAAAAATAAATCAGATCTTTTACAATATATAACTTGTTAAACAGTGAATAATTTAAGAACAAACAACTTACAAACATGTATAGGTCATAAAAGCTAAAACAGTAATTTCAAAATAATGTCTGTAAAATCTAGGTGTTGTTAAACATATAAAAAACAACATAGCAAGATAAACATGTGCATTGTTGTTTGTGAACATGTAAATGGTTTGTCATAATGTGTAAATGTTTTAAACAGTAACTTCAAAAGAAGAATGATCATGATGGCCCTGTAACACTAATCAAAATAAATGTTACGTTGGTTTCCCCAAGAAGAAGTTGTTCTAATTCAATTTTTTGGTAATAATTTACCATCACTGACTGTGACATACTGTGTTCACAGTTGTCAATCATTGCATAAGATGATAAGAATTAAGTTTGGTCATTATAATACACAATTTCATAAAAAGAAGTCATTTCATGATTTAAAATACATGTACTGTTCAAGTATAATAGGTATTTAAACAGTGCCCATAATTGATGTAGGTAAGTGCAATAAGCAGCAATATACATGCAAGAATGCTATAGATGACCAAGTTTGATGAGTAACTAGTATCTGGCCTTTGTTTCTCAAGAGATGTTTGTTTAAAAGTTCCCTATTTATAGCTCTAAATGGGACCGGGCAAGACAGTGGACACAGATGCATTCAGCATATGTTAAAAGCTCTTACATTTATATCTCTAATCATGTTAATATTCTAAAAAAAATCTTTATTTTGATAATAGTGCACAGTAATAAAATGTGAGGAGTCAGACAAAAAAACAGCATCTGCCTTGTGGGCATAAAAAAAACTCATTACTGACTCATATATTCATGGTTAGCCTCTTTCACCTTTACAAAAATATATAGCACCTTTACCATTATAATTATCAGTCTTTAATTAATGAAACAAAATAAAACATCAATTATACAGTTACAGTGCTAGCTAAATGGCATTTAAAATTTTTTGTACATTATATAACAAATAATACATAAAGTGATACTGAGATTCATTAGAATATGATAAAGTATGAATTTAACATGCATGATTATAATAAGTGAGATATGGCTATTACAATAAGGAAGTGTATTACAGGCAACACTGAACTATACAAACTAGAACTATCACTAAATGTGATTAATACCCCCACAAGACTGCTTCGGAAATGAGAATGTTGTTAGTAACAGAATACCTTGTAAAAGAATTGAAATATAGAGTTATAGTTGTGGGCAATTAAAGATAGTTGTGGTTCTTGTATGTTGCATTCCTTTCAATGTGGTTGGCCATTGATGAAGTTTTATTGAATTACTCTGTAATAAGTCCAGAAAGACAAGGAAAAGGAACAAAGGGCAATAACTCTATAAATACTGAAGATGGAGTTATAGTTCTTGTGCACTGCACTTCCTCTAATTGTGCTTGACCATTGTATGAAGTTGTTTTGAATTCCAACCAGTACGTTTTAAGTTATGCTCCGGACAAGGAAAAGTATCAAAGGGCAGTAACTCTGTATTTTGTCAAAATGGAGTTATGACTCTTGTGCACTGCACTTCCTTTTAATGTCCTTGACAACTGTATGAAGTTGTATTGAATTCCAAACAGTAGTTTTCAAGTTATGCTCTAGACAGGAAAAGTAACAAAGGGCAATAACTCTGTAATTAGTCAAGATGGAGTTATGGTTCTTATGCACTGCACTTCCTCTCAATGTGCTTGACCATTGTATGAAGTTATATTGAATTCCAACCATTAGTCTTCAAGTTATGCTCTGGACAAAAAAAGCAATGGAAAAGTAACAAAGGGCAATAAATCTGTAATTAGTCAAGATGGAGTTATTGTTCTTGTGCACTGCACTTCCCCTTATTGTGCTTGACCATTGTATGAAGTTGTTTTGAATTCCAACCAGTAGTTTTCATGTCATGCTCTGGACAAGGAAAAGTAAATAAGGGCATTAACTCTGTAATAAGTCAAGATGGAGTTATGGTTCTTGTGCACTGCACTTCCCCTTATTGTGCTTGACCATTGTATGAAGTTGTTTTGAATTCCAACCAGTAGTTTTCATGTCATGCTCTGGACAAGGAAAAGTAAATAAGGGCATTAACTCTGTAATAAGTCAAGATGGAGTTATGGTTCTTGTGCACTGCACTTCCTCTCAATGTGCTTGACCATTGTATGAAGTTATAATGAATTCCAACAATTAGTCTTCAAGTTATGGTCCGGACAAAAGAAAGCAATGGAAAAGTAACAAAGGGCAATAATTCTGTAATTACTTTAGATAGAGTTATGGTTCTTGTGCACTGCACTTCCCTTTTATCGTGTTTGACAATTGTATGACGTTGTTTTTAATTCCAACCAGTAGTTTTCAAGTTATGCACCTGACAAGGAAAAGTAACAAAGGGCATTAACTCTGTAATTAGTCAAGATAGAGTTATGGTTCTTGTGCACTGCACTTCCTCTCAATGTGCTTGACCATTGTATGAAGTTATAATGAATTCCAACAATTAGTCTTCAAGTTATGGTCCGGACAAAAGAAAGCAATGGAAAAGTAACAAAGGGCAATAACTCTGTAATTACTTTAGATAGAGTTATGGTTCTTGTGCACTGCACTTCCCCTTTATTGTGTTTGACAATTGTATGAAGTTGTTTTTAATTCCAACCAGTAGTTTTCAAGTTATCCCCCGGACAAGGAAAAGTAACAAAGGGCAATAACTCTGTATTTAGTCAAGATAGAGTTATGGTTCTTGTGCACTGCACTTCCTCTCAATGTGCTTGACCATTGTATGTAGTTATATTGAATTCCAACCATTAGTCTTCAAGTTATGCTCCGGACAAGGAAAATGCAAGGGACGTCTGGACCGACCGACCAACCGACCACAGGGTGACTCCTATATAACCCCCCAAACTTCGTTTTTGGGGGTATAAAAACAAATATAATCTCATATTCTACAAATACAAATGTATAATCTCATTCTACAAGGCATATGTATCAAAAAAAATAAAATAACATTGTCATAGTTTCGAACAGTGTATTAAAAGTACAAAGTTATAATTTCGGAATGTATTAAACCTGCATTCAAAGAATTAAGGGCCAGAAGACACAAAGCATTGGAATTTGTGGTTGGCGATATCGACAAGCCTGAATGAATTTTAACAAGTCCAAAAATCGTAAGTGGAAAGTAAAGCCAAAATAAATATAAATGCAGTGGTTTTGTTATTTCATTGGCAGATAAATAAGTTGTTCCATTTGAAATTCATTAATTTCATTTTCAGAATAAGGTAATCTTATATGAATGCAATGTTAAATGCATGAGACATATAAATATATGATATGATCAGATCTTTTTAAAGGTTATAAAAAATAAACCATGTGACAAATATTTTGATGGTTAGATTCTAAAAATCGGGGAAATTCGAACCCCCGTTGAGATATCGAGAGACAAGGCTGAAAATCATGGGATTTTGTACTTCGGCCGGGGATATGGCATGTATGCATGTAAATACTTGCCTTTAACTGAAAACATTTGATAAAAGCAGTTCAAACAAATGTATTTATCTTTTATCAAGGGTTTCAGTAATTTTGAAAGAAGTTGTGTCATTTTTTTTTAAATGAGCAGGTAAATTAGTGCCTGGCAGAAAGGTATGAAAAAATATATTAAGAAACCAGGGACAGCCTAACAGATTTATCAGAATTAGCTCACATGTATAACAACAGCTCATAGTGGAACTGCTGCATTAGTAAACAATATTTATTATAATCAGGAACAATATTTTAAACATTATAGTTTTCCCCATGGCCAACTTTTTGCAGAAGTCTTTGCCTTTCTCTGTTCATACTGGACATAAAAGTTTCATGCTGTTGAAACTTGATAATCTTCACCACAGAGGTAATTGCAAGGAAAAGCCAACAAAGAAAACTTGTCCAACTGCCAAACTGAAATAATCACACAACAAAGTATGGCTTATTGTAGCAAGTATTAAATTATAATAAAAACATTAAAATAAAGGCCTGTTCTTAATCACAAATAGGAAATAAATGCAAATTCCTTTATAAAATGTAAATTTCCTAAATTAAAGGTACTGTTACTTTCTATTTAACACATGCCTCACTGTATACCTTAAATTGACTTTCATTCAGGACAAAACCATTCGCATTTTTAGGGTAAATTCATAGTAAGTACTGACTGGTGCAGACCACTAACAAATAGCACAGAATGTGACAGCTGCTCTTAGTCTGCATTTTTAGCACAGATACATTGTGTATAAATCAGTTGCTGCCAGCAGGCTTAGAGTTAAATTGGTTTTACCTCAACCATTTTCATCTCAGAATAAAAGTTACTGGAGTTTATGCCTGCAAGCTCTCGAGTGAATGGAATAAATTCTGCCAAATCGCATCTGAAATAAAATCAATCATCACCATTTTCATTATCAAAACTTGAAAAACATGTTTGGTGCGAAACAGCTGTAACTCATATAACATAATGAAGGAGTTATGTCCGTTTTTACTGATCCATCAAAATTGTCTCACCAACAAAATCACATAGACTTTAGAAAATTACATTTACATAGTGTTTGAAACATATTTCTAATGAAGGTTTAGAGCAGCACAGCGCAAGGTTTATGTTGTCAAGATTGTTCTAATTAAATTTGTAAAAATGTTTACAAAATTTCATCATATACAATATACAAATAAAACAAAATCCACCAAGCAATGGGCATTTACTTATCACAGAAATTTACTATGACCTGTTATATACCCTTACTCTACCATTAACTGGATAGAAATATGGCGGTAAAAATAACTGAAGTACAGGTAAAAAATTTTATGAAAGATTTTTCATACTCGTATACCATGCAAGATGTCATTATAACATTTTGATTCATATATTTCTTTCATCACTGTTATATTTACCTTAAAAAAATATTGAACTATCTTGAAGCATGAAGCTTTAAGGAAGTCTATACATTCTTAAATTTATATAGGTTTTATTGTTTTAGAACACTGAGGATCATGTGAAGATAATGTTAAAATAAAAATTATAATGTTGTAATGTACATTACATTGGGTAATGTAGTATTTAAGCAGGATGGTGACAACCAAAAAGGTCCAATATTTTAACACCAGAAACCTTTTATATATATTAATGACAATAAACAAGAGGGATTAGTTAATATTAATTTATTCTTAGATGTTAACCCTTTCCCACATGAACATATTGTGAAAAATGGCCATTTTCACTGAAAAGCCTCCTGTTACAAGTTCAAACTGCTATGAAAGTATGAAAAATGCTTCAATACTAATCAAACTTGGCACAAATGTTGACTGGACCATTGCCTTTGTAACGACATGCTCAGTCTTAAATTTCCTGTTACCATGGCAATGAGGGGACATCTCAAAATTGCCAAAAATCACTATTTTGCGTCGATTTTTTCCATCAAAATTTATTTCAAAGTGCTGCAACTTCTCAAGGGATTGACATAGAGTCAAAGGCTTTTCAGCGTTGGTTACACGTTACCTTATGATCGACCTGGGGTCATTTTTAGCCTCTCACAAGTCCAAAATTTTCTTGGCGATGAGGGGGACTCCACCCCCCTTCAAACCCCCCAAACAGAAGGGGGCACATCCCCCTTCTGGCAACCCCCTGATGTATCTTTTGGATGGGGGGCGGCGCCGAAAAAATGCTCACTTTTTTTAGCAACATTTCTCAAACAAAAACATGTGTTTGGGGCCAAAAGTCCATTTTTTTCACCATTTCAGGCCTAAAAAAAGGGGGGGGGTCGAAAGTGCGTTGTTTCGCGTATATATGAGGTAAAGGGTTAAAAGAATCCAAAATAACAGGTGAACAGTTTCCATTTTTATTGCTGGATATATTATACTTAAATGTATTCTTTCAACAAAACAAAACAAGAGCGATCAGTGCGCTAGAGGATTGAGTAAGGATCGGCAATATTTCACTGGAATCGCTTTTATGGAACCATTCATTTAAATTGCGTTGCATTTTCAATAAATTTTTCTGTGATTATTTAATATTTCAGACGGCTTATTTGTTTTGCCCGGATGTAGACTTGTCACTGCTTTTAATATAGAGCGTCGCGAAGCGTCGTTAATAATTATAAACCAGTCCATGAGCTAACAAGAGCGATCAGTAATCACATGTGTCGCCTCATGATGGCCAATTTCATGTTGGGACAAGTTTTGTGACAGACGGACAGTGCACAACTAGACTTGGTACTGATCATTCCTGTAAAGTTTGGATGAAATTGCACCAGTAGTTTATGTGGAGTAGTCCGGACAAGCTTTTGTGTATCTGGCAACACACAGAAAAAAACACCTTTTTATCAAAGGGCCATAACTTGACCAAAAATCATTCAACCGGAAAATCCTTGCAATATGCACAAGGACTTGAGCTACAGATCAATCCTGTAAAGTTCCATTGAAATTGCATTTGTGGTATAAGAGAAGTAGTCCGGACAAACTTTAAAAATAAAAATTATTAAAGGGCCATAACTCTTACAAAAATCATTGAACCGGAAAATGCTGACAATATGCACAACTAGACTTGGTACTGATCATTCCTGTAAAGTTTGGATGAAATTGCACCAGTAGTTTATGAGGAGTAGTCCGGACAAGTTTTGTGACGGACAGACAGACGACGGAGAAGTGATCCCTATATGTCGCCACTACTCCGTAGAGGCGACACAAAAACTGCTCCAACAAAGTGCATCATGTTGAATGGTGTTTCATGGTAAAACTGAATATATGATAAAAACTCACGATACAATCTGTGATGAGGAGCCTGTAAGGAAGTCACACCAAGTCTTCAAACCAACAGAGACTGTTACTGCTGAGGCAAACAGCATCAATGTTACAACAATTGCCACAATAGTTGTAATGAATGCCTCTAACCAGGAACTGAAATATAAAATAGGTTTGAATATTCTCACATTTTTAACCTTTAACCCTTACCATTGGGTAAATGGATCTGTCAATCTTTCAATTTAGTCAATTTAATAAATATTTTTTACTTTGCATTTTCCTTAATCAGTAGCGACAAGAGTTACATTAAACTTATGTACTTAATTGTGACCAAAGTTGTTAGCTTTACAGTTGGTTTTTTAAATAAATTAGTGTCATATTATCAAGCTGTAAGCTTTAAATTGAATTCTGTTTCCCAAACTAATAAGTGTCATACTTGGACATAAAATAATATTTTATGTCCGGCAGTGTCATATTATAAAGTTATAAGTATAAATTAAATTCTGTTTCCTAAATTTAATAATCTGTGCCATATTATAAAGTTGTAAGCTTTTAATTGAAGTTTATTTCCTACATTAATCAGTGACATATAATAAAGGTGTATGCTATAAATTAAAGTTTTTTTCCTAAATTAATCAGTGGCAAATAATATAAAAGTTGTAAGCTATAAATTAAAGTCTGTTTCCTACATTAATCAGTGACATATAATACAGTAACTGTTGTAAGCTACAAATTAAAGTCTGTTTCTTAAATTAGTCAGTGTCATTATTATAAAAGTTGTAAGCTTCAAATTAAATTATGTTTCCTAAACTAATTAGTGTCATACTGTGACATAAAATAATATTTTATGTCACAGTTTTACATTTTAAAGTTGTAAGTATGAATTAATATCTGTTTCCTAAATTATTCACTGTCATATAACAAAGTTGTAAGCTTTAAATTAAAGTATGTTCCTTAAATTGTTTAGGATAATATTAAAATTTTCACCATATGATTGTGAATATTTATTCTTTTTTTTTCAAGTTATTTGGCCTTTGCTTTTTCATAAGTTTCATTCTATGTTAATTTGTTTTAACTACCAAAATCGAGGCATGCCCCTTTAACATTTATTGAATAGCAAAAAAAAAAGAATATTTATAATGACATGAACAAGTGACAGACTATACATTTTTTTCATACAGCTGGGTAAAAGATGTCGGTTTTTTAGTTACCTGTCAGAGTCACGAGCTAGGTATAGGAAATATAGTATCCCATAGAACAGTGTTAACATCATGATAATGATGCCCATAAACACACTGAAATTGCAAGCACTATTTGGACCCCAGTCAACAGAGCCAACCTGAGAGTCATTTTCCCACCTTCCTGTTGCATGAAGCAGACAGTTCCCTGAAAATTCTTTCAAATTGATTGACATTGGAATAAAAATGAAGAATGACAAAATAAAAGATAAAATAAATGCCGTCAGTTGAGACAGCAGAAAAAAATTGCCGACTCCCATATTTCCGGAAATTTAATCACGAGCTGGTTAGTGTTTTCGTTTCGGTTCAATGGAGTGGGTGTAAATAAAAAAGTTGTGAGAACCAGTCTATGTAAATACTTCCGGTCTGAACTTCCGGCAAAATGGCAGAAAATCAAACAGAAGAGAAAATGGACATTAAATCCGAGTCAAACGGTGGTAAGATCAAATATATTTGTCAATTTTAGCTATAGACATACAGAAAACATCAAACAGAATTTGCAGTAACTGTCATTACGTGCATCTTTGCAAGGTTCTATATGAAAGGTGGCATTTAAATTTCGTAAAAGTAAACAAATAAAATTATTCCGTAACATCTTGTGACAATTAAGGTTGCACACGTTAACATTTAATACTCTCGTAAAACGTAAGTAAATAATTATCCTCGAATAAAATTTGTCAAGTTGTGAACACCCTTACTCGTGATTTGCCCCGCCTAAAAACTAGATGACCAAAGAAAAAAACAACAAATCATATGATAGCTTATGGTATGTTATCACTTGCTCTAACATTTATTCATGTTTGTTAACTATCAATTATGTTTATGCATCCTAAGGCAAAATTTAGTGTATGCAGAATCGGAAAAGAGTCAACTCGGCACGGGTCAACTCGGCCCACTTTACAAAAATATATAAAACGTATTAACTTTGTGTTGGCTTTGCATGTTGTTAAGATAAATGAATAATAAGAAATATCTTATTATTTTATAATTATACATTGTACTTCTGCCAAAATAAAGTATATTTAGAAAAAAAAAGTTATTTATTTGTCTTGCAGATTCGATAAAATTAATATAGATCTAACAAAAATGCGTTTCCTTAGATGCATTTTGTTTATAAAGTAATATTCAAAAAAATATGAAACTAAAACGTGTTTACTAAATATCATAAGCTTCTATATAACAGGGTTCCCACGCTACCGGGAAAACGGGAAAAGTCCGTGATTTTCAAAATCGCGACTCCCGGTCGTGAAAATGCTGGGATTTGCTCCGTCCGGGATTTAGTCCGTACCACTAAGGGAAATAATCGATATTGAACAATATGGCTGCCGCCGAAGCAACGTCCATTTCCTGGTTTGGATTATTGATGTTTTCTTCCACCGAGGATGGTTTTAACAAGCTATTTTGAACATTTTACAAATCAAATTCAGCTTTTTATACGGTAAATGCCGTAATGGCTTTGAAACCTCGCTAGAAATTAACAATGAAAACGAACGAAAAAATTATAAGCACGTCCGTGTTTCTGGAGCACTTGAATTTACTGCACAGTCGTCCAGTTGATTCAGCAAATATGTCGTCTGCACTAGTGCGCCAGTTGCGAGACAGAGAAATAGGCATGCGGCTAATAACCTCATCTTGTGAAAATTATAACAGATAGCTGGAAACATTGAGAGGAGGGGTTGCTTAAATCTAAGTAACCAAATGAATGTACAAGGAGAAAGCCTAATCTGGGAGGTCTTATGCTGGAACCGTAATCTCATGGATCCAAAAACAACCATCAAGATTGGTACTTGGAATGTTAGAACAATGTCCTTATTAGGGCTGGATCAATATACCGGTAAATCGGTATTTATCGATTTTCCGTTTTTCAATACGGTACGGTTATCGGGTTTTAGCTATACCGATACAAAGGGAGACAACCTAATAACACTTATAAACATGATGGCTTTACATTAAAACTATCGTCTTTAAAATGTCCGCACAAAAGTCAAAAGTGTGGAATTTTCTCTAAAGTAAATGTTAAGAAGGCCCTCATCAATATTTGAAAGGCTGCATTGATTAGTTCAGGTGGAACAACGAATATGTCAAAACACAAAATGACGGATAAATCCGTGTCAAAATTTATCCGGCCATTCAATCTCCTATTTCTAACACTGGTAAAAACTACTTTCAGGTCGGCAGTAGTTTGTATTAGACCAAACATTTACTTGTAATTTTTTAAACACATATTGTGAACACATAAATCCAACAAATTTATTGATTTTCCAAGATGTAGTTTGCTAACTAAATAAATGTGACTGCGCGAAGATGTAGCTAAACACCCTTTCCCGGTACGTTACGGATTACGACACCACAACATCATGACATGATATTTATATTTTTATTGTAATTTTACCGTTTAAGATAGAAAAAACATGATTTGTTAGAAAATTTTCAATGTTCCAATACTTTCTCAGCGTATATATTTCAAATTCTACAAAAATTTGATTTTATTATAAAGATCTTATAATTTAGAACAGTTGACTTGTAGACAGTACTAGACTCCTGTCATAATAAATAGTAAGGGTGTAACGGTTTACCGGTATACCGATATATTGCAATATGAAAAAAAAAATTTCGAACCGCGGTACGATTTTTGGAAAACCGGTATTTTATAAAAATCATAATTTTCAATTAATTGCCTTCTAATTTTGTACAAATTTCACATAAAATCTTTAATTGGCAAATTTTGTTGGCGCCAACGTAAGATAAAAGTATCCGACAACTAGTACACTTAAAAGTCAATAAGCGGCCGCATAGTTTACATAAGCGGCCCAGATGTGAAAGGTTATGCGCAACTAGTTTTGTTTATCAAATTATGTGACACTTTACTTTCTATTTATTCCTTACATTTTTATTAAGTTCCTATGAAAAATATATACATATAATAATAATATATAATGTTACCCCATCTTTACATCAAAACATATACACGACAATACGTATTGCAATATATTGCAATACGCTTCAGCAAAATGGCAATATATTGCAATACGGTTTTTGCTGTATTGTTACACCCCTAATAAATAGTGATGTTTTAATTATTTTCTGCGTTAACTTTTCCTAGTATTTACATAATTATATTTTTGCATTGAATTATTTCTCTACAAAGCTTTTTAATTTTTTTTCAAAATAATTTGTTTTATTTAAAAAAGGGACCATCATGTCATTTTCAAAATATTACCTCAAATGTACTAATTAAGGTACCTATGCACCTGCTCTGTATTATATATCATCATTAACAAAGTCAAAATCTAAAACAGATATAAGAAAGATTCAATAATATTTCACCAGGGCATCTATGAAATGTAAATAGTACTTTTAATAAGTACATCCTAACAATGAAGCATCATTGTACTGTATCATCAATACGTATTGTGTATCGTTGGTCTGTATCGCAATGCGTATCGTATCGGAAATTTCTGATCAATACCCAGCCCTAGTCCTTATGCTTCGCTTTGAGCGAAGAGGATAGTTAGATCCTCAGGCAAAATTTACTGTATGCAGAATCCCAGCTTTAAAATCTATGCGTCCAGCGGCAATAAACATCCGTACCAGGACGTTGTTTCATGCGCCACCGAGAATCCTGTACATGACTTGCTCGATGAATGAATACAAACATCTCAGATTCCTACTCCTAGCACGATTATTGGTAGACTTTACCTATGGGTCTGTATTCAGCGCTCATGTCATGTCACAGCATATAAACTGGTACACTGAAGTCAGTGAAGACCTTGAGCTTGAATTTATCCACACAATTTATAAAATTTCACAATTTCTAAATTCAATTTATCATGCATGGTACTTAACATAAGCTAACATAGGTACAGCTGTCTGCCTTTCAGTCAATTAAATTTATCTACCAGCTGATAGAAGTCAGCTGCTGTTAAGTCATTGTTTTGCATTTCAGGGGAAAATATTGCATTTTTTTAGGGGAAAATATACCTATTTTGGTTTAGGGGTAATGGCCTTAATTCAGCTGTAAAATATTGGAAAAAATCACTGCACATAATTGTTATAATCTGTTTCTAAGTTGGAAAAAAAGCCTTGATATAAATATATAATATCAAAATGATATAAAATGGAAAACTTTTTTTTTTATTTTAACCACATCTTTTGACTTATTTAAAGACAAATTGGTATACATATTTCTGAGATGGGTAATACAGATAAAATAAATTAAGTTATTGAGTAGTGAAGATTCTTAACTTTGTCATTTATTTTGAATGAAATTTTCTTCTTCTTTACCTATATTATCCAGGCTAAGAATTGTCAAGTGCTGTCTAACTAAGAACTCTTTAGTTATCTTTGTTGTTTTTAAACAAATTATGCCAGATACTTATTCAACTAACAGTGATTTTTTTACCTCTGCATCCTGAGTCCAGGACTCATTGAATTTGCTGTGGATGCAAAGTTTCAAATAATCTGCATCTTTTGGATGCATACTCAGTGTTCAATCTAGAGCGCGCCATTGCGCCATTGACCCCCTGAAAAGACCGCCGGCGCAAAACAAATTCAACTGTGGGCCCGATGGGCGCACTCGTAGAAAATGCCCTAAATGACATTAGAATGCTTTTAAACCTGATTATAAGTACATAAAAAAAGTTTCTTGTGAATAATATTAATAAATACTGAATTCAAAACTGAAGTTTGTATAGAAAAACAAGAGCATGTTGGTAAGATAGTTACCGCACTCGGTAACCCTTTTAAAACCTTGATCGCTACGCTCTCTCGGCCGGGGTCTGTAAATACTATGTAGACTTTTTCTTCGTACCGTAACTATTTCTTACTTTTGAGTCACAGTTTTTATAAACAAAACAAATCGTCACAGATAATCCAATACGTGCGTGTAGTTATAGTTTTTTCACGGTCAAAACAAATAAATATGTCATAACTTTCCGGAAGAAAAAAAACTATATATTTGTGAAAAGTGCGAGATAATTATAGAGAAGTGTGCATAAATTATTACGAACACGCCTTCATCCAATTAAAAAAGTCTTAAAGATGGAGCTAATCAAACACGATTGGCTAGGGGGTGTCTGACAATTGAGTAAATAAACTTTGATTGGTCTTTGGCTGGTCGGCGCTAAAACATTGTGCATATCATTAATCAATACACGTGACGTAAGAACTGCTGCCCTGACAAAAGATCAAAGGTACCGGTATGTCAATATACATTGTCTTAGCACCTGTTGACACTTAGTTTTTCGTTTGGATATATTGAGAAGGGTAAATGTTTTTAGCGACTATTGTAAGTTTATAGTCTTCATCAACAAAGCTTATTGGGAAATATGATTTTCTTTTATATACATTTTGTATCGGGCGCTGATTAAAAAACTGAACATTATTATCAAATATCCATGGTAACATTAAAATAAGATTAACATGTTTCTTTGAACATTATGTCATCGTTTCTTTACCAATCAGTTCTTAAAATTGAGCCTGTATCAACGCTAACAGAACTCTCAAAAATGGTCAAAATAATGTCATTTTTTTAGTGAGTTGATTGTTTTGGAATATAGCAACCGTTTTTAGTCTATATATGGTACGTGAACAAGTAACTTAAAAGATACAATACCTTATTTTAATTTGATGTTCTTTTAAGTGCGGGCCCCCTTTTTTCTCAAATGACCCCCTTTTGAAAAGTTTATGGGCCCGAAGGGCCCCCTGGGAATTTGTTCTAGATTGAACACTGCATACTTTTTCTGAGTAGGGAGTCCTGTCTGACAGGAATTTGGTAATAAATACCAAATTGTGTTCAAGTTATGTCAATCATATTCTAGGTCTGCAATTCTTCTACAGATAAGAAATAATAATGTGCTATACTATAGATAAGCATAAAAATATTAAGGGAAATGAAGTTTTGATTAATCTCAAACTAAATTAATGGAAATAAACTTATAAAATTTATTAGACAGTTGTGAATAATTTCAGTATCAGAAGCATTGTAATTAATGTAGAAATCAAATCCATTTTTTCTTCATTCCATTGTTAATATACCTTTCAGATCACTAAAGCAATATTAAGCCTTGTAACTTGGATTTGTTGGCTAAATTTTGGGACTCATAGATTTATAGCCCAGTGAGCCCTAGGACCCACACTGATGAGTTTGTAAAAAAAACCACTGAACTAATCCAACAAAAAGTACTAGGTCCAAACTTTGCCTGACATGATGATGACACATACTATGAAAATCTGCTGATTTAGTTATTTAAGTTTACACAATATTTAATTTCAATTTATACAACATAGATATATACAGTAAGCTTATACAATCACGCTGATATATTTCATGGATTGGAAAACAAGTCAAATATGACTTGTGTAAATTCCCTTCCAATTTTCAAATTTAGTTATGCAATGTGTTAACCTCAAGAGTTTGAATTAATGTACTAACCGCATTTAAATCTTAATTGTAAAATAATTGTATGAACAGTGAATATATGTTTTTGTTGAATTCATTGAACATAGTTCTGTCTTTTATAGTTAACATTCCATTATTTAAAGGTCATGGTGATGCTGCCATAAATGAGACAACTAATGTATCAAGTTCAACGTCCAAACAGGAAGATACCTCAGAAACAAAAGCACCAGTTAAGAAAGAAAAGGAAACTGAGTTAGAAAAATATTGGAAACCTGTGAAAGAAAATCCAGGAGATTTTACAGGCTGGACATACCTTCTACAATTTGTTGAACAGGAGGTACTCTCTATATATTTCTAGTTGAAATGCAAATTGCATTTATGTCCATAGTTAAAAAAATTTATGATTGTTATACATATGAGAATTACGTACTGGTGTGTTATTTGCTGACTTTGTATTTACAACTCGCATATATTGTTATGCTTTTGCTTTTATATATTGAATTATCTTGAGTAAAAGTTCATATAATCTAACTTGTTAGTCCCCTACCGGTTTAACCGGAGGGGACTTTAGGTTTACCCTCCGTCCGTCTGTCCGTCTGTCTGTCTGTCCGTCTGTCTGTCCGTCTGTCTGTCTGTCTGTCAGTCCGTCAGTCCGTCCGTCCACAAAACTGGATCCCGCGATAACGCAAAAAGTACTGAAAATATTTTTATGAAACTTGATATATGGATAGATGGCAGTATGGAGATTATGCACGTCTTTTTTTTTTCTTCCTATGTTGAAAATTCTGGTTGCTATGGCAACAAATAGTCTGAAAATATGGCAAATTTAACACATAAACTGGATCCAGTGATAACTCAAAAAGTACTGAAAATATTTTTATGAAACTTGAAATATGGGTAGATGGCAGTCTGGAGATTATGCACATATTTTTCTTTTCTTCCTATGTTGAAAATTCTGGTTGCTATGGCAACAAATAGCCTGAATTTCAAGATTTCTGATTTAAATTTTTCAGCTTTTTCACTATATGTTCTTTATTTCTTAAGGTGTTTACTTCAAACTTTAAATATAAGTTTCTGGTCATCAACCACATCATATGTGACAAGGTTTATAACTCTAGCACAAAAAATATCAGTATTACCTCCCTTGAACTTAGATTTTTTAGGGAAAAAATGTTGTCTTTTTTAAATAACTTCTTTATTTCCTAATGTATCTACTTCAAACTTCATATATATGTTTCTTATTATCACTCGACATTTTTGAGAAGGTTAAAATACTCTAGCAAGACTATTTCCAGAATTATGTCCCCCTTGAACTTAGATTTTTTTTCGAGAAACTGGTATTTTTCACTCCAACTTCTTCATTCCTTATAGGATTTACTTTAAAATCCCACATCGTAATAATATGACAAGGTTGTATAAACATAATTTCCTTACTAAGCATGGAAACTTAACACATTACTGTGATATAGACAAACTTATTTTATTATGTTTTGTGGTTGATATTTTCAAATACAGACTGACTTCATCCTCAAATTCATTATAAATGGCAATACACAGGAGTGTATGACAATTAAAGAACTTTTTGAGGGACCGGTAGGGGACTACTGTATTGCCCGCAATACTATCAAATGCTTGTTTAATTTGTTTTTTATGGTAGTAAATAGATAAATGTATTCTATGCTTCTTAACTGATATGATGCATGTCTAAAATTGTGTAATATTCATCAAGAAGTACAACTTAATTGACCATAAAAGTTGACAGATGCAAAATTTACATTAACAAAAAGTATAACAAAGTACTACAATATATATATATATACTCAGTGTGAATTAACTTAAATTTGTAGGCATGAAATTTCATGGTTTTGTCAAAACAGATGTTTTTGTGTATTCTTAAATTTGTGGATTGTCTGTTTGTGCAAAAAAGTAAAATTTAAATAATATAATAAAGATACATATAGTTATACAGCAGACAAAATAAAATTTTGTTGGTTCTTAAATTTGTGAATTTTCCTATCAACAAAAATTAGTGCCCAATGAATGATAATGATTATACAGTAAATTGTTTTATTCATGATGCTTATTCATGATGCAATATGAAAATTTCAGAATGATATTGAGTCAGCAAGGCAAGCATATGATGCATTTCTTAGTAGATATCCATATTGTTATGGTTATTGGAAGAAGTATGCAGATTTAGAGAAACGACAGGGTGATCTGAAAAAGTCTGTTGAGGTAAGCTCTATTAAATGATACAACTATTGCTCTGGTTAAATATTTACAAAAGAAAGACATTTCATACTGTTAAGTAATAAGTTCTATTTTATGTCCCCCAGTGATTGATAGCTTTGGGGTATATTGTTTCTTGTCCTGTCTGTCTGCCTTTGTGGTAATTCAATAATTATAGCATTGCTTAATCTTACATAAGTAATCTTAAATTTGGCTTCAGTAAGCTTAGCTGAATCTTACGTTATAAAATTGGCTACTTTTTGATGAAAACTATATTTTGACATTTGAGTTTTACCAGAAATGATTATGAATTTCCAGGTAATATTTATCAAAATTCATTACTCAATAAAACAAAACTTAATTATTTATCTAAGAAATTTGGTTGAGAGTGTTTGTGTGTTATGGTCTTCTAGTACTTTCCAAAAATATATGACCAATAGAAAAAGATTAATAAGCTACTCTTGAAAGTAATAATTTTAGGTAATTCTTGACAATTGTATCCAGAATAACATATAATGTTAATACAGCCATAGGTAATTTTTGAGATAATACATAAGGTCTAAAAGAACAGTTGTTTCAGTAGAAAAACTGTTTCTTAGAAAATTATAGCAGATACTTCATTTTAATTATTTCTTGATTATAGCCTTTCAAAGTGTTAACATGAATTCTACCATTTGTAATTTACTAATTTATCAGAAATCATTCAAAAAAAAAATAAACAAGTTTTGCTTTTCAGCTTCTTGTATGACCAGATTTTAACCACTCATTTGTGAATATTTTGAATATGAAGAGCTTAAATTATAGATTAGAAATTTATATTGTAATAAAATTAAGTGTGATAATTGTGACTTAGTCTTTTATGAGTGAAAGGGTTTTCGATGTATTCTACAAATACAGACCTGATCAGGGATATATTTCATGTATCTGAGTCAAGCCAGAAAGTTACCAGATGTTTTATATCATATCAATGTTGATATCAACACTTTTCTTTTTTTATTCTTATTTGAAAACATTTGAGATTTGACCTGTATGTTTAGTCTAAAGGGATTTTAGATAATTTGTAAGAGGAGAGACAATTTCAAAAAGAACGAAAAAATGATTAAAAAAGTTGCATTTTTACTGTTTTTTATTGCAGAGATAAATGGCTTCACATCCAGTCATTACATGAATTGTAGTGCATTCTGGGTGTTTAATTCTAAAATGTCCACACCTAGACTAGTCTGGACATAGAGGCTACATACACAGCTAGGTCACTGCAGCATCGGTAAACTCGCGTGTTGAAACATTTTTGCCATGATTCATGATTGATTGTATGAGTCACTGAAATTTGTGCATTTCCATGTAGTTCCGCCATCCTCTTGTGAATTTTGTATTGCTTGCTTGTGTTCCAGTTTATAGCAAGTTTATTTTATTTTGCAGATATTTGAGAAAGGTGCAAAGGCCGTCCCACTTAGTTCAGAGTTGTGGCTACATTATATAACATTTTACATCAAGGAATTTATCAACGAAGAAGAAACCAGGAAGTGAGAATTTTATTGTTTTTAAGAAAATGAGCCACATTGGCATTCATAGAATAATTGAGTAATGTACAGGCCCAAATTAGTCATGTTGCTTTCTATATATTTCTTCATCCGTTATAGTGAAATGATCGATATTTTGATAAAAAAAATGTTTCAAATTCGTACAAATTTGTAGATTGCCTACTAAATAACTTCTTACAATTATATTCTTGTAAGTAAATCGTAGACCTGTACTCATTCTTAATATTTGAAGCTAATATGTTACATTTACATACAACCAAACATATCTTAGGAACTTATGCAATAGTGTGAAATACAATGGTATAAAAATCTGCTTTCAGACTTTATGAAAGGGCTTTAACAGCAGCAGGGACTGACTTCAGGTCTGACAAATTGTGGGACAATTATATAAACTGGGAGAAAGAACGAGATCTCCGGAGAGTAACATCCCTTTATGATAGATTATTCAGGATTCCTACACAATTATACAGTCATCACTTTGATAAGTAAGGATCTTTAATGACTTTTTATGCTCCCACAATGTGGGAGCATATAGCGTTGCACTTGTCCGCCCGTCCGTCAGTCCGTCCGTCCCGAAATCTTGTGAACGCAACTTCTCTTAAATCGGATGGCAGATTTTGCTTAAACTTACAGGGATGAACAACCTTAATGTGTAGATGGTAGTAAAGGAAGGAATTTTCGCTGCGACCAAATTTAACAGAATTATGGCCCTTTGTTGATTTTTATGCCCATACAAAGTGGGGAGCATATAGCATTGCACTTGTCCATCCGTCGGTATGCCCGGCCGTACGTCCCGAAATCTTGTGAATGCAACTCCTTTTAAATTGGATGGCAGATTTTGTTTAAACTTTCAGGGATGAACAACCTTAATGGTTAGATGGTAGTAAAGGAAGGAATTTTTGCTGAGACCAAATTTAACAGAATTATAGCCCTTTGTTGATTTTTTGTAGAAATTTTGTGAACGCAACTCCTCTTAAACCGGATGGCAGATTTTGCTTAAACTTCCAGGGATGAACAACCTTAATTGTAGATGGTAGTAAAGGAAGGAATCTTTGCTGCGACCAAATTTAACAGAATTATTGCCCTTTGTTGATTTTTTCACTATATACCATATATATGTTGTCAGTGGGGGCATCCGTGTCCTTTGGACACAGTTCTAGTTTCACTAGATATTATGTAGAAATTTTGTGAACGCAACTCCTCTTAAACCGGTTGGCAGAATTTGCTTAAACTTACAGGGATGAACAACCTTAATGTGTTGATGGTAGTTAAGGAAGGAATTTTCGCTGCGACCAAATTTAACAGAATTATGGCCCTTTGTTGATTTTTTCACTATATACTATGTAGAAATTTTGTGGACGCAACTCCTCTTAAACCGGGATGGCAGATTTTTGCTGAAACTTACAGGGATGAACAACCTTAAGGTGTAGATGGTAGTAAAGGAAGGAATTTTTGCTGCGACCAAATTTTAACAGAATTATGGCCCTTTGATGATTTTTTCACTATATACTTTGTAGAAATTTTGTGAATGCAACTCTTCTTAAACCGGATGGCAGATTTTGCTTAAACTTCCAGGGATGAACAACCTTAATGTGTAGATGGCAGTAAAGGAAGGAATTTTTGCTGCAACCAAATTTAACAGAATTATGGCCCTTTGTTGATTTTTTCATTATATACTTTGTAGAAATTTTGTGAACGTAACTCCTCTTAAACCGGATGGCAGATTTTGCTTAAACTTCCAGGGATTTACAACCTTAATGTGTAGATGTTAGTAAAGGAAAGAATTTTTGCTGCGACCAAATTTTACAGAATTATGGCCCTTTGTTGATTTTTTGTCCAAAAAATATTTGACCTAGAGTCATAAGATTGACAGAACAGTGGCGTGTGGGGGCATCCGTGTCCTATGGACACATTTCTAGTTGTCTAAGAAATCTATTTTCTTGCTAGAAAGATTAAGATGTCTTCTTTTTTTGCTTGTGTCACATGTCTTGAAATACCCTCAGTCTTTCATGTAACAGTTGTGGTTGTTTAACTTCAAATTTAAGAGAGCTTTACTGTGAACAATTCTAGATTTTCTAAGGTTTCGATCATGCTCTTTAGAGGCGCTGTTGAAGAATCAAGTATTGAATATAATTTATTTCTATATTTCAGTTTCAAAAAACATGTTTTAAATCACCATCCTAAAGAGATTTTAAGTCTTGATGAGTTCTTTAAGTTACGCACAGAGGTTGTGAAGGAAACAGATGGTCCATTGATACCTGAAGGTGATGATGCCCCTCCCCCTGGTGATGAACCCCCACCAGGAATGGAACCTAGCACTGACAAGGTATTGATTGGTTTTCATTCTTCATTTTCATCAGTGGTGTTACCTTGCTTGATTGAAATAGTTTTAGTATTTGATCATGCTATTCATTGTATACTAAGAAGTGGGTTTTACCTGGCTTTTTACACATATTTGGTCATATCTCTTTCCTGGATAACTAACCAGTTATTACAAATTTCTCTACAAGTGACCCAACTTCTAATCCCACAAGGTTTCTGAATCAATGGTGACAGTCAAGTGATAAGACACAATGACCAAGATGAATTGTTTTGGAGAATTTTTGCCTCACCAGAGGATTGAACTAGCCACCCATGTATTTCAAATCTGATGCTCTACCTATTGAGATAATTGGACTTAACAGTAAACAGCCAATAGTTTTTAGCCATTTTCAATTACAAACTTTCACATACATCAAGACTTTATTGATTTTAAGATACATTTACATTAAATGATTGTAAACTAATTCTTTTTCCTGATTTTTTTCTCCAGAATTCTTTAAGATGGATGATACTGTTCTATTATTTGTCTGTGCCAATGGTATGTATGTTAAATGACTATCTATGTCTTACAGGGAGATGCAGAAGAAGCTATGAAAGTGCGGGAAAAGATTCTTAACACAAGAGAAGTCTGGTTCAAACAGAATGAGGAGGAAGTTAGCAAAAGATGGACTTTTGAAGAAGGGGTAAAAAACTTCAAGCTTTATTATTTGAAATATTTTTTTCTAGAAATTTTGACTCCTATTCTATATTAGAAGTTTTAACTAGCATCCTTTTAAGAATCAATATGTTTCTAAATGAAAGTTAGTTTTGATGCTTTATTCTTTGAAACTTCATCTTTTTGTACCCACATGTAAAGTTCTTTGTCAAAATAGTGGTTTCTTTCATTAAATAAGTTTAAGTGATTGGACTTAAATGAAACAGTTAACGCATGTTAAGTTGGTGGATTGTTACTGTGGAGGAAAATTAATATATACATTGTAATATTACATTACAGATCAAGAGACCATATTTCCATGTAAAACCTCTGGAGAGGTCTCAGTTAAAGAATTGGAGGGAGTATTTGGATTTTGAGATTCAGAGTGGTACACATGAGAGGGTTGTTGTCTTGTTTGAGAGGTGTATGATAGCAGCGGCCCTGTATGAGGACTTCTGGCTGAAGGTATCATGTTGAAGTCTTTCTTGCAAGATGAATTTGATATATATCAGATGAAATTAAATAACACAATATGTATTACAAATTGAAAATTGAATAATCATGTGAATATAATTATTGTGATTATATATGTGAAATTATGATTATAATTAAAATAAAAGGTATATTAACAAGGTAATTTGAGTTACATTGAAATTTAAATTTTATTGTATTAATTTTTAAGTAAAAGCATCTTTCGAGTTCATTTTGAAGCCTATTAATGAAAAAAAAGTACAGTAAGCTGATTTATAAAGAATTTGTTAAAAAAAAACAAAGTTTGTGATTAAAATGTGCTGATTATATAGTAAGTAGATTTATAATTCATCTATAATTATTTTGGCAGTATGCAAGATATCTGGAAGAGCACTTCACAAATCTGAAAAAGGCAGGCTGTGACACAGAGGGAAGCTTAAATGTGAGTTCTACTATCATTTGATAAAAAAAATTTGATGACAGCATAATCTTTTAACTTAGAATTTAACATTACATACAAAAAATAATCAGGAAAGTGTTAACTTGAATATGATGATAAATGTATGCTCTTGAAAGTATATACTGGGCTTGAAAATAATGTACAATATGGTGTTTTAGCTTGACTGTTCAAAAAAATTATTGCTGACCAATGCACTGGCTTTGTCAAAACAGTTCTTATCTTCTTACACAGAAAAACTTAACTTAAAACATTACCTTTGATAACAGGATTATGATAATAGGTCCCGTCTAATTCTAGCATAGAAGTTATTGAATTTTATATGAACATTTAACATTATTGGTTAAGATTTTGTTTGCAAGATAAATCTATCGCTAGAAGATGTTCACTTCACTTGAAACTAGTGACATAGGGTCAAACTTGTTGGTAACATCTAGACCCTTATACTCCTGAATAAATTTCCTAAACTATACCTCTTTTCAACTTCTTGATTCATGTTTTAAATGCAAGTATTATCTCAACAATGACTCTACAACTGAAGGTTTTTACATAAAACTTGATAAATGGTTTCTGGGTCATAATTGTAGGTTACTAACCAAGACACATACTTCTTGCAGTGGTTTTCACTTGATTATTTCCACTTGTGTATTTAGTAA